TAAAATGGTTCGGGTGTGACGGCCATGCGATATTGTCGTCACGGTAGGTACTCTACAGTATCATTTTGCTGGACGTGGATGCACTCGGCAGACGCACACAATGTCCTAGACCGAGAGAATGGAGTCCCGAATCCATTGCGACTTCGTAATGTGCAAGCGTACTCGTATTCCAGGGCAAGATCTCCTCGGACGATGTCGCGCGACAGCGACATTCTGCGACAAGGGATTTCCATACGGGTGCCGTGAATTCTCCGTCTGACAGGATGCCGATACTCCTGCATCTGCTAATTGCAAATCGCAATAGTTTAACTTGCAGTGCCAATTCCATTAGCTTTTTCTTGTCATTGTCTTGGGGCGTAAGGACGATTACTCCCCAGAAACCAAAAATCGCGCATAGTTAGATTAGAGCTGGGGGAACTCGGCTACAGACCAGAGACTGTTTCGTACCGATCCATACGACGGTGATGTCTGTGGAGGCCAATCCGGCAGACCAGTGCCGGTCGCTGTTAACGTTAACCTCCTTGAGTGGAAAAAACGCGGTATCGGTACCATACCAGACTTCTCAATTCTTATTTTTTTTGATTGCGGACTAAACCGAAGACGGAGGGGCCCCACTGGATGCTATGCGTATTGAAGGCGTCTGAGTGGTTGAAGCCGGGTAGCCGGTTGGAGCTTTCTTGGTAGGGCAAGGGGCGAAGTTTGGTGAAAACCAAGAAAACACTAGTGGCCTAACCTGATTGGGGTGAAAATGGGTCCGGGAAAAATAAGAAAAAAACAAAAAAGACAGAAAAAGGGCAGTGAAAAAAAGAAGGAAAAAACCTTGCGCGGGTCGCGATACCTAGCTTATACCTCCCCCAGCAACCAAACTCAGAAGTATCTCCCCCCCCCCCCAAATTCGACAAACACGGGATTTTCTGGTCCAAAATACCTCTCCTTCCCTATTTCAATCGGTCGATTTCAGATTTTTAATTCCCAATTCTGTAATTCCCACTTTTCCTTTTTCCTTCCTTTTTTTCAATTTCCATTTATTTCCCTCACTCTTTTTTCGTTACCCACTACGCTACACCCACTCCGGTTCTCTCTTTCAGACCCCCCCGACATCCATTATAAAACACGTCCTTCCTTCGCACCCTCCATTTTTTTTCCTTCCCTTTTGTCTTACATAGGATCGATTCCGACTCTGTCATTCCTGCTATCTCGTTGTTTTAACTCTATTTGCTGGGGTCCAAGGCTACAGAGCCGAAGCAACAACAATGGCGGAGCGGAGAATTTCCTATGCTGTCGACGTCGAAAATGGCGAACGTCACAACCGTGAAACCGGTGAGGAGAGTAACCTCGACGAGTACTCTGCCTTGAACCGGTACATCTCGACTGCTCGCGACAACCGTCGTGGCTCTACCTCCAGCGCTGGTGCCCTGAGCGCCGGTGAGGAGAAGAAGAAGCCCTGGTGGAAGTTCGGTGGTAAGACCGATGGTGTCCAGGACGGCTTCGTCACTCCCGATGAGTGGCTCGAGACCGACCTCCGCGCTGGTCTTGCCTCCAGCGACATCGAGCCCCGCCGCAAGAAGACCGGCTGGAACGAGCTGGTCACTGAGAAGACCAACATCTTCGTTCAGTTCATTAGTTACTTCCGTGGTCCCATTCTGTATGGTATGTACATCTGATTGAACAATGCAATTTGAGAATCAGCTGCTAACCATTTCTGCAGTGATGGAACTCGCTGTCCTCCTCGCTGCCGGTCTGCGTGACTGGATCGATCTTGGTGTTATCTGTGGTATTCTTTTGCTTAACGCTCTCGTTGGTTGGTACCAGGAGAAGCAGGCCGCCGATGTCGTTGCTTCTCTCAAGGGTGATATTGCTATGCGTGCTATCGTTGTCCGCAACGGTCAGGAGGAGGAGATCCTTGCCCGTGAGCTCGTTGCTGGTGACATTGTCATCATCGAGGAGGGTACCGTTATCCCCGCCGATGTTCGCCTGATCTGTGACTACACCAAGCCCGAGATGTTCGACGCCTACAAGGAGTACCTTGCCAACGCCAACTCCGACGACCTCAAGGAGAAGCACGGTGATGACGACGATGAGGATGAGGGTGAGGTCCACCAGGGTGTCTCCCTCATTGCTTGTGATCAGTCTGCCATCACTGGTGAGTCTCTCGCCGTCGACAAGTACATGGCCGACACCTGTTACTACACCACCGGTTGCAAGCGCGGCAAGGCCTACGGTATTGTCACCGCCACTGCTCGTCACTCCTTCGTCGGTCGTACCGCTGCCCTCGTCCAGGGAGCCTCTGACTCCGGTCACTTCAAGGCTGTCATGGACAACATCGGTACCTCCCTGCTCGTTCTCGTCATGTTTTGGATTCTCGCTGCCTGGATTGGTGGATTCTTCCGTCACTTGAAGATCGCTACCCCCGAGGACACCGACAACAACCTGCTCCACTACACTCTTATTCTCCTGATTATTGGTGTTCCCGTCGGTCTGCCCGTTGTCACCACCACCACCCTCGCTGTCGGTGCCGCCTACCTCGCCGAGCAGAAGGCTATTGTCCAGAAGCTCACTGCCATCGAGTCCCTCGCTGGTGTCGATGTTCTCTGCTCTGACAAGACCGGTACTCTCACTGCCAACCAGCTCTCCATCCGTGAGCCCTTCGTCTCTGAGGGTGTTGATGTCAACTGGATGATGGCCGTCGCTGCTATTGCCTCTTCCCACAACATCAAGAACCTCGACCCCATTGACAAGGTCACCGTCCTTACCCTCCGTCGTTACCCCAAGGCCCGTGAGATTCTCGCCCGCAACTGGGTTACCGAGAAGTACACTCCCTTCGATCCCGTCTCCAAGCGTATCCAGACTGTCTGCACTTGCGACGGTGTCCGCTACATCTGTTCCAAGGGTGCCCCCAAGGCTATCCTCAACATGTCTCAGTGCTCCGAGGAGGAGGCCAAGCTCTACCGTGAGAAGGCTTCCGAGTTCGCTCGTCGTGGTTTCCGTTCTCTCGGTGTCGCCGTCCAGAAGGAGGGTGAGCCCTGGCAACTTCTGGGCATGTACCCCATGTTCGATCCCCCCCGTGAGGATACCGCCCACACCATCGCTGAGGCCCAGGTTCTCGGTCTCTCCGTCAAGATGCTTACTGGTGACGCTATCGCTATCGCTAAGGAGACTTGCAAGATGCTTGCTCTCGGTACCAAGGTTTACGACTCTGAGCGTCTGATCCACGGTGGTCTCGCTGGTTCCGCCCAGCACGACCTCGTTGAGAAGGCTGATGGTTTCGCTGAGGTGTTCCCCGAGCACAAGTACCAGGTCGTCGAGATGCTCCAGCAGCGTGGTCACTTGACTGCCATGACTGGTGACGGTGTCAACGATGCTCCCTCTCTCAAGAAGGCCGACTGTGGTATTGCCGTCGAGGGTTCCACTGAGGCTGCCCAGGCTGCCGCCGATATTGTCTTCCTCGCCCCCGGTCTCTCCACCATTGTCGATGCTATCAAGCTTGCCCGCCAGATTTTCCAGCGCATGAAGGCTTACATCCAGTACCGTATTGCCCTGTGTCTTCACCTTGAGATCTACCTTGTCACCTCCATGATCATCATCAACGAGACCGTCGACTCTTCCCTCATCGTCTTCATCGCCCTCTTCGCTGATCTTGCCACCATCGCTGTCGCCTACGATAACGCTCACTTCGAAGCCCGCCCCGTCGAGTGGCAGCTGCCTAAGATTTGGGTTATCTCCGTCGTTCTTGGAATCTTGCTCGCTGCCGCTACCTGGATCATCCGTGGTACTCTCTTCCTCGAGAACGGTGGTATCATCCAGAACTTCGGTTCTCCCCAGGAGATCCTCTTCCTTGAGATTGCCCTTACCGAGAACTGGCTCATCTTCGTCACCCGTGGTGGAAAGACCTGGCCCTCGTGGCAGCTGGTCATCGCCATCTTCATTGTCGATGTGCTCGCTACCTTGTTCTGTGTCTTCGGATGGCTCGCTCCCGACTGGCAGCAGACCTCCCCTGCTGACCCCGCTGGTCCCGGCTTCTCCAAGAACAACGATGTTGACATTGTTACCGTCGTTGTCATCTGGGCCTACTCCATCGGTGTTACTGTCATCATTGCCGTTGTCTACTACCTTCTGACCATCGTCCCCGCTCTGGACAACCTTGGCCGCAAGACCCGCTCCAAGGCCGACACCCAGATCGAGAACATGATCGCCCACCTCTCCAAGCTCGCTATCGAGCACGAGAAGGACTCCGAAGGTCGCTCTCGCTACGTCATTGGTGCTCGCACCGAGGAGGTTGAGGACGAGTAAATTCTCGCTTCTTAGCTCTTTTTCCTGACTCGTTACTGATCCGAGCTCTAATTTTCTTCTATTCCCGCGATTACCACACTGCGCAATTTTGCCGTGCCGCAAATGGACATGCATGACGTGGGAATTAAAAAAGGACCTGTCCCGTTCTTTTTGCTTCCTTTTTCCCCCGTATTATAGACTTTGTGTGTTTCCATTTACCCCTTGGCTTGTTGCTCTCGAGCTGATAGAGTCGAGTTTTCTTTCTCTACGTGTATGTATGTCGTTAATAGTGGCACTTAGTCAATCTAAGGGATTCTAATAACTCTTCTCCTGGTAACTACATTTGTAACAACATTCCGATGCCCTTCATAATGCCCTTCATTCTTGGTAACTTTTCACTGTCTCGACCTTGCATTGAGCCCTCCGTGCGGAGAATGCAATCTCAGACTGTACCATGCCAGTACCATGCTGCTTCCTCACAGGTGGAAGTCAATTCTCCGTCTCAGACTCCAATCGCCTTTCGGATGATTTCCCGCTATGCGGGGAGACAAGCTTCCCCGGACGTCCAATCTAACTCTGGAGTTCTCGCCGAGTCCTGGTCCCAGATGATTTCGATAATTCTCCGTGTGCCGCGTTGAGGCCATCGACAACGACACCCCTCAATTGGATCTATAAAAGACCATGTCGCGCAATATGAAGGACAACCACTGCAATTGGCAACCCAGAGCGTCATGCTTCGGCTATACTTCTTCTCCCTGTTGACCATTCTGCTCAACACGGTGGGCGTCCATAGCGCCGCCGTCCAACATGTCTCGCGCCAGCAGTGTCAGTCCAAAGGTACTCACTGCCCACCTGGAACCATCATCGTGAGCGCCTCCGACAAACGCGCCCACTTCCCAACCATCCAAGGCGCCATCGACTCTCTCCCCGCCGACACAAGTTCCCAGACCATTCTCATCCTAGCAGGGAACTACACCGAGCAACTCAACGTCACTCGCTCCGGACCAGTGACACTCCTGGGCCAAACATCCGCCTCGAAAGATGCCACTCGCAACCGCGTGCGCATCATCTGGGCCGCGGCCAATAAAGACAACACAGGCCAAAGCGTCGATAACGTCTTCTCCAGCGTTCTGGTCGTTGCACCGACCCTTGAATCTAGCTTGACGGGCTCGGGGACAACAGGCTACGCAGTGCCTGCCGATACACCATTCGGCAATACCGATTTCCGCGCATATAATATTGACTTCGATAACATCTGGGCTGAGTATTCGGATGGACCGGCGCATGCGTTGAGTTTCTCGCGCGCAAACGGCGGCTTCTATTACTGTGGATTCTACTCATACCAAGACACTGTACGTTTTAAGGCGAGCCTCCTATGAGAATCATACTAATTTTCACAGGTCTACGTCGGCAAATTGGGCAATGCCTACTTCTACAAGAGCATCATCGCAGGACAGACAGATTTCCTGTACGGGTTTGGCACGGCCTGGATCCAATCCAGCGATCTGCAGCTGCGCGGGTGCGGCGGAGGCATCACGGCCTGGAAAGGAAGCAATACGACATTCACGAACAAGTACGGCGTGTATATCGTCGACTCGAACCTGCGCGCTGCGAATGCTTCCATCGCGCCGGATATTAAAGGAAAGTGTGCGCTTGGACGACCATGGAATAGCCAGCACCGATCTATCTTTGCGAATTCCTACGAGGATGGCACGATCGATTCGAGCGGGTATATTGATTGGGTGGTTTCTGGTGTTGCGAGATTCGAGAAAGGAGTTACTCTCATGGCTGAATATGGCGCTTTTGGACCTGGGTTTAATGCCTCGGGTCGTGTGGCTGGTGGTGTTACAACTGTTTTGGATAAGAAGGCGTATGAGCCGTATAGTACGCCGCAGAAGGTTTTCCAGAACCAGGCCGGTGTCTTTGGGAACACGAAGTGGATTGATTGGGATACCGTCCAGGCCAGCAATTGAGTGGGTATTTTTTGGGTGATCGCGTAGTTGCGGCGATGAGGACTTCATGTTTTCTAAATGCAATCCATGGATTGAAAGTCCGAAGGGCCCAGATCGACATGATCCACATCTCAGAGATGTTACATCCTGGCACATCCGTAGCCCGGTCAAATGGGGTAGCAGTTTCATGAAGTTCTGCTGTGTTCCAAGTTCTTAGCCTATTCCGGCATATCGTCCAAGTTGCCCAAGCTGGCAAGATATGCGGCCCCGGTATCAGCCCAAATCTGATACTCGCACACCTTCAACGACCCGTTCTTCTCTGAGTCGTCGCTCACATCCTCTGCGACTTTGATTCGGTATGCGAACGTTTCTTCCCACGAGTGCTGTGTCTCTTTCCATGTAAATGTCGCCGTGCCCCGTAATGCGATGGCCATACAGCTCTCGTCAATGACCCATGTCTCTTCGGGCTCGAATTTCATATTCTCAATTTGGAGATAGGTTGATAATAGGTCGAAGTAGGCTGATATGCCTTCTTGGCCGTGAAATGAGCGGCCCAGGAAGGGGGCTAGTTGGGGGAGGCCATGTTCGTGGGCTAGAGGTTTGGGACTTGTGGTGAAGGTTGAGAGAATGTCGGGACCTTCGGATTTTGTTAGGGCATCCAGGAGATCCTGGACTGGCTCTTGGAGAAGTTGGCGTGACATGGTGAGTATGGAGATGAAGTTGAGCGCGGACAATTGGGTCTCCTTGATTCACATGACGTATCCTGCCATTTAGTCATGCTCCCTCCTCCAGACGTCGTTCTCAACGTCCTGAGCTACTAGGAACTGGTGATTCACCAAAATTTACCCATTATATCCAATTCCTGATCCCCAGTCTAGTTTTAAAGCTCTCACAGCCTAAAGGCCGAGGACATCCAACATTTGAAGCACTAGAGCTTCCAACAGTGGCTTTATAGACGACACAGCCTGAGTGCTTCCCCTCAGCCAGTACGTATGGACTATATGAAAACGGGCCACCGGATCTCTTCGCAGAGATGAAGATTTTATTCTTCATTTCGTATACCTCAAGAAACAAAGATCTCTTGTGACCGACCATTACCCTCTCGTGGTCTTGCAGTTCTACCACAGATCATAATCACAATTCGATTGGCGGTATCGGTGCCTATATTACCCTCGTTGCTCCAGATGCAGATACTTTCAATTGAGCATGGAAGGGTCCTGTTCCCGTTCCCCTCGTCCATGAGTGAAGGGCAATCCTCTCCCAATCGAACGGGATCACTGTTGCGCTGGTGATTGTAGCTGTTTCAGCGCCTTTTTCCGCAGAGCGGTGGAGTAAGTATGTCTGTATGTAACCAGTTTGCTGGTTTCGTAGGACCATTGTTCTGGAAGGTAGAACCCTGTCTGTCCATGCTTCCATATCTGTGTAGGTTGTTGGGTTCAAGCTTGCGGGATAGCATTGACCAATGCCTTGTTGAGACCATCAAAGTCGGGCGACGATTCAAATCCATCCGCAGCTGTGATTTTTCCTGCAGTGAACCATGTTAATATGCTTCCGATGCCTTCAACATTGACTTGCTTTGGAACTGCCTCACCAAGGAGCCACCCGGCATTGTTCTCCCCCCTCCCCCCTGTCACGATGTAAGTATCTTTGAATACCGGAACGTATCAGTATACAAAGATACCTACATCGTGACAGGGGGGTTCCTGATGCTAAGCACATGCAGTAAAGGTATGCCATGGTTAATGGCTGATCTCAGAAACGCCCTGGTGGCTTGGCATGGTAAAGTTTTGTTGGAACTACCAAGGGCCAAGAGAGAGAGAGAGAGAGGGAGAGAGAGAGAGAGAGGAAACTGACTGAATTCACTCGACTGAGGGAAAAAGGAAGAAGACTATCGAGGATCAAACAGCAAACAGCTCGAGCTACAGAGACGGGATCATCACATGACTCCCAACAGGTCTCCAGGGCTGTCAGCTTGTCGCAGAAGCATACTCGGCTTAATAGTAGTGCACTGCATTCAATATGGGACAATCAATGCATCTCGCTGGCCTCTTATCCACGAAATTGGACTGTAGAGAGAAGCGACTGCTATCTGGCTCCAACCATCTAGGCAGGTAGCCTCACACCGCAATAACCCGACTCCCGCTCATTGGCATATGCTGGCCCATACTACGTCGTTTCTCAGAATGCATGCAGGCACAGCGACTTGGCAAATTGGCAGGTATCCAAATTGAATGTCAAATTTTGGTAATAAACTCATCTGATTGAATTTCTGAGCCGTGCACTGAAGCGGAAGAACACTTCTAACCCTCAAAGAACTCCAATGCCAACTCTCGTAAGATCAATGGCACATATGATCAAGGAAATAGGGGGTAAAAAAAGGGAGAAAAAGGAAGAAACACCGAAGCCCAGAAATAATACACATCCCCTCTTGAAGCTCCCCATCTCCCAGACTCACTGTCGCCAGGACTTGCCACAGTTAGTGCAAGTACAGAAGAGAGTCATCGGTTCATCAGCAGCACGGGTCTGGGCTTCTGTGTAGGTGACCTCGCGCTTGCCACACTTGCCACACTGCAAGGTTTTACTGATACTGCGCTCAGCCTTGGCAACCATGGCCTTGTCCATGTTCTCCTTTTGGATCTTGGCATCTGCTTCCCGCTGCTCGACGGAGCGGAGCTCATCGTGTGACATGCGCACAAACTCATCGGGGGTGATCTCACCCTCGAGAACGCGCACACGCAACTTGGGGTTGGACTTGTTCTTGAGGTTCTGGAAGAGACTGCGGATCTTTGTGCGGTATTCTTCCTTCGATTCTGGTCCCAGGTGCTTGAAGGCCGCGGTCTCAACGGCAATGGCGCGAGCGACAATGATTTTGGGAGACTCGGTTGATCCGAGACAGAGTCCATCGTACATGAGTCCTGTGCAGCTATCGCGCACTTTGCTTCCGGTATGGTTCACTTCCACCCCGTCTGCCTTCCAGGTGCGCTTGTCGGGATGTACGGACAGCTTTGAAGCCTTGTCCGTGGGAGTGGTGCTTGCGGGGGTTGATGCTGCTGTGCCGTTTTGCGCAGGTCGCGGGGAGCTCGATCCGCGGGCGGCGGCTGTTCCGCCACCTTGCTTTTGCTTGTTGACCTCTGTTCGCCACTTGGAGACGATCTCGCTGGAGAGGCGCGCAACTTCGGGGGTCTTGCTTTGCTTGAATTTGTTCACGATGATACCAATGCGCGTTTGGCGCAGCAGATCTTCCGTGGCTCGGACTCCTGTCTGAATATCCTTCAGAAGACCTAGAATCACAACTGAGGACTCGTTAGATGTCGCGGCCTTGCCCAGGGCCTTGGCCTTGGCCTCGATTTCTTTGGCGTCCATTGCCATGGTGTGCGGAGTAGAAGGTTGGATCAAGTTTCGTTCAGTCGAGCTTATACGAAGCGGTAGCTTGCAGGCGCCGGAATATCTAGTAATTCCAATTGTTAGCGAATCCCACGAAGTGCAAAAAGTGCAGGTCTGCAGCTGGTGCCAGATGCCGGCGCATTCCAGAGAACCATAGAAGAGCCATCTAGCTGGTCATGATGGCGGACCACAGAGCACACATGGGGATAATGATAGTCACACGAAACACGGTCCACAAGGTACCCCGCCGTAGAGACTGCTGCGGGCAAGGGTGGCATGTTGTTGATTTGCACGTGTCCACCTTCTCTCTATGTCCAAGGATCTCGATCAAGATCTCCCCATATGCCCAATACGGATGCGCACATTCTGTGGTTCTCTTTGCGCCGAGTATCACGTTGTGAAGTATCACAAAATGATGAGGGGTGTTGGGTAGAGGCGCTCACCTTCTGAGAGCTCACGGTCGCGTTGGTTGCGCAGACGATACCGTGGTTGTGATGACTATGAAGACTGGGAAGGCGACGCGAAGGAAGGCGCTGAAGGAGATAGCAGTGGGATATGGTGGAATGGTGAACGCGAAAAGCTCAGGACACAATCTCATGAGTTGCGAAGGCCGAGGTTTGCGCCAAGCCTTTATTTCCCTTTTCGGAAATTCTTTTTACTTTCCGCATCTATGAACTACGAAGTACTGGCATTGTGTCGTTCTCTCACACGGCCATTGCCATAGATTTAAAGAATTGCTTGTACAAGCGTATATTCTATTTGTGTGGTAAAACTCCCTCTGAAGAAAGGGCCCTTGGCTATGCAAACGGGATAGGGATTGAAACAAAAATGATTATGTGCAGCATTGATTCATCATCGTATGTGAGGGGTATAACAAATGGGGGGTTCTTCGAATAAAATGCGTAAGCGTCGTCAGTCAGACCCTTATACTCAGAGCCAAAGGGGACTGGCAGGCTCAGGGCATGGGTCATGGACAGCCGGAGAGTAGACCCCCAGAGCATCCGTAGATACACGACTCTCGGGCGTGGGCGATATCAAAGCCAGGTTGACCCTGGGATGCGCTTGAAGCCGGAAAAGGCGACTGGCTGAAAAGATAACTGTCCCAAAGCTGCTTGATTAGATGCCGGTCTTGCCCAGCACATCGGCCAAGGCATCGACATCCTTGTCATTCTTCTGGGCAACCTTCTCTTCCTCGGCCTGATCGGCATCCTTCAGGTCCTTCTCAGCCTTGGCCTCCTCTTCTTCCTCTTCTTCCTCCTCCTCGTCCTCCTCTTCGGAATCCTCATCCTCGAGCTCGTCCAGCTCATCAACACCCCAGCTGTCTTCGGGATCCTCATCAGTGCCGTGCTCTTCCTGGCGACCTTCCAAAAGCTCGCGCAGGTCCACTATGTTGGGATCATCCTCAGAGAAGATGTTGCCGTTGAGCTCCACACGGCGGAGGTTAGGCAGAGCAGTCTTGGCGGCATGGGTGAAGCTCTTGACAGCTTCGGCCTTCATCTCGTTGTACTGCAGACGCAGAGTCTGGATTTTCGGGTTCTTGTTGGCAGCCAGGGCTTGGGCAACCTTGACACCACCGCGCGCGGAGAGGAGACAGTCACCAACGCCAAGCTCGCGCAGCGAGGGCCAGGCGGGCAAGCTGTTAGCCAGGGCAGTGGATCCCATGACGGTAAAAGTGTTGTCCTGCAAGTCCAGCACCTCGAGACCGGGGGCGTGGTAGAGACCCTGGGTCAGGAGGTGGGAGATACCCTCCTGGCGGATACCGTTTTGGGTCATCTTGACGGACTTGAGACCGGCAGAGTGGGCCTTGTAGGCCCGAGCCCAAGCCTCCATGCTGCCATTCTCCAGACGGTTGCGTCCGCAGACAACGCTCTCCAGCAGGTTAACCTTCTTCTGGTCCCTGCGAGCCTCCTCCTTGCGCTGAGCCAGCTGGAAGAGCGCATCGGCGACATGGGTTCCGGCCGCGGGGCCAAGTCCGTTGTTGTTCAGGATGAGGTGACGAAGGGGCACATGGCGGGAGAGGAACTCGACGAGGGGCGCAGAAGTGTTCAGGCCAAAAGCGTTGTCGTTCAAGTTAACAGTGTGAACAGTGTCGAGCTCAAGAATGGCGTTCAAAAGGGCAGTCAGAGCAGTGGGGATTTCTGACAGGAGACGACCGGTGAAAATGTCGTCGAGGTAGGCGGCTTCGAGCTGCTCCTGGTTCTTCAGAACCACGGCCAGACGTTGACAAGCGCCAATTCCCAGGGTGTTTCCACCAAGACGCAGTTCCGTGAAATCGGTGCTTTCCACCAGAGGCTGGATGTGCGCATTGATATCCTCGGCGGTGTCGAGCTTGAGGACTTTGCCCTCGAGAGAGAAGACCTTAGGAGGGGCCATGGCGGGGTAATTGCTTTGTGAGGAGGGAAGATGGAAATGAATGAAGGAGAGTGTGAGGTCAATCGCGGATCAAATCCCAATCGCAAGGACACGCACGAGGCCTGAGACAAAAGAAAAGCAACCGAGATCGTCAGCGTGTAGTAGAAAATAAATGCAACCCGGGGAGGCAACAATGGCAACAGAAAAAAATAACTACGGCGGCCCAAAGGCGCCAGTACCGCTGCCGGTCGCATTAATAATGTCCGAGGCCTCCGTTCCTGAGCACTTGCATTCACCACTCTTTGTCTGTAATATCCATTAAACATACCCTATCCACATCAATATGTCTTGGCTCTTTGGTTCCTCAAATGGTACGCATACTCTTCTCCCCCGAATCCGGTCATTCGCGCAATGCGCCAATCTTACAATTTGCCCCGGAGATCACGGAATACACATACTTACTATGGCCGCTTATAGAGAAGAGCGCTGCTCCTGAGCAAGCACCTGCCCAACCCGCTCAGACTGAGAAGCCCAAGGTATGTCCCGTCGCAGTCCAATCACTCCGCGCAAATAACTAATGTTCGTTTTCAACAGCCCTGCTGTGTCTGCAAACCCGAAAAGACTACCCGCGATGACTGCATGCTGTTCTCGAAGTCCGACAACCCTGAGGAGGAGTGCAAATCTACGATCGAGAAGTACAAGTCTTGCATGGCTGGATTCGGCTTCAAGGTGTAAATGATGTATGATCCTGCATTGACTACGCCGGTCTGTACCACCACAACATTGTAATATAGCATTTATGGGCTGGAGTTCCTTGTTTTCTCTCATATCACTGGCTCGAGATATTGGCTGGCCTGTGGAATATCGAAAGATAGAATATTCACATGGATGCCCAGGTGATAAGGATCGAGTTTCCCAATGAAACATCTCACCTCGTGGTCTAAGAGATATAATCTATGACTGATTCAGACAGCATGCGAACTGCCCTGTCATTTAAGCACATAAAGCGGGGTATCATTGAATAGCACACAACCATCTACCCATGGAAGCAATCACTGCTTCTTTTTCTGACTGTCCTCCCCGATTGCCTGCAGATCGATCTTGCGGCACTGTGTGAGCAATTTCCACATGCACCACAGATAGGCAATGCCGAAGCCACCTGCTCCGACCAGGGCATTCAGAACCACCCACAGGTCAGGCTTACCCGGGGGTGGAGCCACGAATGCCTCGAGAACATGCCAGGCAATCATGACCAAGTAGAAGCTAAAGTGGAGGAGGGTAGTCAGGGTGTTGGGTTCGAATTGAGCAGCACCAGTTTCCCGTGGTACGCGGCTCCGATAGGTCTCGAACGAAGTGGGAGGAAGGCCAAGAAGGTAGGCCCAAAGCAAAGTGAGGACAAAATAGGGAATGCGCAGCTCGTCGCGCTTGAGGAGGGGGTACATGGTCCATGAGCCAAGGATGTTGGCCCAGCCTACCCAGGCACGAAGCTCTTTGCTGAGTCCACCGTCTCCAGCAAGGAGCAAAGTCATCGGCAGCAGAGGCAGCAAGACACTCTTCTCGTGTACCTGAAAAGAAAACAAGAAGAAGCCCCAAGCGACGGCAGAGAGAGCGGGAAGGAGAAGGGATGCCCGGGGATGGCGGAAGATGATGGCGCATGGAACAATGATCGAGGCCAAAGTGGCGCCGAGGGATGCCCGCTGCAAAAGGGTCGCATCGAAGCGCGTGAGCTTGTAGAAAGTGTGAATTGCACACCACGCGTTGGCGACTTTGTCTTCAAATAGTCCACGTGCGAAGGGGAAAACGCGGTGAACGATTTGGGTCATCTGGAAAAGCAATGCATAAAAGACCGAGCTCTTGTCCACCTGAATTGGCAGTGCCTGCAATAAAGGCGGTGCCGGGGAAGAAGCATAAACTTCTCGGGTGCTGGCGTTGGCGGCGCCAACCAAGAGCGGGGCCAGGAGTAACGCAAAGCTGGCCAGCGTGATGAGGGCTATACCGAAGAGGCGCGGGATGTTGATCCGAGGGAAAGTGCAAACACCGAGCAGATAGGCAAACATGACCGGTGCATAGTATAGCGCCATCTGCTTGAATCCCAACGCGCCGACGAAGAAAATGCAGGCCCAGAGCATACGTCCCGCCAGTATGGCATCTAAGCTCGCCACCACCAGCCCCAGCATGACAGTGTTATATTGGAAATGGCCATGATCCACGAGGATATTGCCCGGCTGCAGAAGAACCGCTGCAAGTGCGATAGAGGCTGACCAGGCATGGACGCCCTGCATACGGGTGTAGCGGCGGAGGAAAGTGACGACGGCCGGAACGAATACAAAGTATTCGGAAACCACCACGGTAGCACGCATGTATACCTTCAAGTTGGGATCTTCGAACCCTCGGGAGGCATCCAAAGCGAACCATTCCGGGTCAAAGGCGGAGCCACTAGATGGGGGCGCATGTCAGTGGGGGTCCAGAAATCTCGAGCAATGGAAGACGGGTAGTGACATACACCTTTCCCAGAAGCCAGCTATGGTATGCAGTCAGTGGTGGATAGTCAAGACCCCAATACTGTAGGTCGTAGGTGTACCACTGGGCCATTGGGAGATGCGTGGTGATCTCCATCCAATGGCGCTGAGCTTCAAAGTCACCATGCATCGGAGGAACCTGAAAGCCTAAAGTCTATCAGAGATATTCGAATCAAATTGAGAAGGTGATTGTTCGCATACCGGAGTAACCCCATAAGCTCACTGCCCATCGAAAGAGACCAACAGCCATTAGGATGAGCGGGAGAATGAGCCATTGCGAAACACCTGCTCTTGCAGCCCACAAGAACGAGACGAGTGGGAATGCCGGTGTCTGTTTTCCATCACCAATATCCAAGATCAAATTGTTGTTGGAGCCGGGGGAGGTTGCCGGTCTGCCCTTCTTGCGGGGACGGGGACGGTGGGAAGGCGCCAAATTGGCCATTGCGGTATAGGCCGGTGGCAATCTAAAGTTCCATAGACCGAGGAACTCAGAAGATATCCAGAGAAGAGCTGGTCGAGGATCTACTATAGGGAAGAATTGACCAAGAGCTGTCCACGAGGGCAGATGCGACCTCAGGTACCAGTGAGTGACATTCAAATATTAGGTGCACAGGGCGGACTGTGAGTCGTCGACAGGTACTGGGCAGGTATCCACTCCATCCTCACGCTAAGTGCCTGGTCTAACCACATCCGGCAGGCGGCATAATTCTGCCTGTGATTTTTTTTTTTCCCAGAAATTTTTTATGATAAGAGAGGTGAAGGTCCCCGGCTCTCTGCTCTTTTTTCTTCTTCTTCTTCCCATCCTCCTTTTTCTTTCTCCCAAGTAATCTGTCTCAGGTTACATCTCCTTATCACTTAAACCTCTCTTGTCTTTGCAAGAGAATCATTCACTAACTAACGCAGTCGCGTGGGTTTTATCTGTAAGTTCTTCAACAGATACACTGTGGGCTTTTGAAAACATCTCTCTGAGGGCTGTGGGCTTGTCATACATCTATTCTGTGGGCTCTGTGGGACATCTTCCTCGTGGGTTACATATTCTAGACAGTAGTTGGCTGTCGGTCGCTTGTGGGCTTGAAAGAAAAATCTCTTCCTTTCCGTGGGTTGCTTGTGGGTTAACGTCCAGTTGTGATTAGATCACGTCTGGCAGTTCTTTTCTGAGGGCTGTTCCATCCATCCATTCGGGTGTATTGAGGGATCGTGGGCTTTGCCGCACATACTACAAGAATTTCATTTGAAACAACAGTATGTGCAACCCTACCCAAGCTACAACCCGGCACCCAAGCCTCCCCTTCCCCCCAAAAGTCTACCCAGCATGGAAGAGAAGATTGCTAACATGCTCGTTCCTCAGTTCACAATGTCCAAGACTTCCACCAAGGTTGCCGACAAGGCCTCCAAGGGCTCCAAGGCCCTTAACAAGGTCAAGGATGCCGGTGTCACCAAGGCCTCCGCCTCCCCCGCCGCTAAGAGCAAGTCCATCGCCGCCAAAGTCGCCGCCAAGGAGAAGTCCTCCAAGAAGAGCAAGAAGGCCCCTACCCCCAGCTCCTCCGAGTCCGAGTCCTCCGACGAAGACATGAAGGATGCTTCCTCCAGCAGCGAGTCCGAGTCCGAGTCCGAGAGCGAGGATGAGAAGCCTGCCCCCAAGAAGGCCGACAAGAAGGCCGCTGCCAAGGAAGAGTCTTCCGACTCCTCCGACTCCTCCGACTCTTCTGACTCCGAGTCCGAGGATGAGAAGCCCGCTCCCAAGAAGACCGAGAAGAAGGCCGCCGCCAAGGCTGAGTCCTCTGACTCTTCCGACTCTTCCGACTCCTCCGACTCCGAGTCTGAGGACGAGAAGCCTGCCCCCAAGAAGACCGAGAAGAAGGCCGCCGCCAAGGCTGAGTCCTCCGACTCCTCCGACTCCTCCGACTCTGAGTCTGAGGAGAAGAAGTCCGAGTCTTCCGACTCCGACTCTGACAGCTCTGACTCTGACTCTGACTCTGAGGCCAGCGAGCCCTCCAAGAAGCGCAAGGCTGATGCCGAGCCCGAGGCCGTTGCCAAGAAGTCCAAGACCGAGGAAGTTCCCGAGGGTGCCTCCGCTAACCTCTTCATCGGTAACCTGTCCTGGAACGTCGACGAGGAGTGGCTCCAGCGCGAGTTCGCCGAGTTCGGTGAGCTCTCCGGCTGCCGCATTGTCACCGACCGTGAGTCCGGCCGCTCCCGCGGTTTCGGTTACGTCGAGTTCGTCAACGCCGCCGACGCCGTCAAGGCCATGGACGCCAAGAAGGGTACCGACCTCGACGGCCGTACCATCAACCTCGACTACGCTACCGCCCGCCAGGCTCCCCAGGCCGGTGCTGACCGCACCCAGAACCGTGCTCGCTCCTTCGGCGACTCCACCAGCCCCGAGAGCGACACTCTCTTCGTTGGTAACCTTCCCTTCAGCGCCACTGAGGATGCTCTCCACGAGGTCTTCGGTGCCCAGGGCTCCATCCTCGGCATCCGTCTCCCCACTGAGCAGGAGACCGGCCGCCCCAAGGGCTTCGGTTACGTCCAGTTCTCCTCCATCGATGAGGCCAAGGCTGCCCACGCTGCTCTCAACGGCGAGGAGATCGAGGGCCGTGCTATCCGTCTTGACTTCTCTACTCCCCGTCCCGCTGGCGGTGACCGCGGTGGCTTCGGTGGCCGTGGTGGTGGTCGCGGTGGTGGCCGTGGTGGCTTCGGTGGTCGCGGCGGCGGCGGTGGCTTCGGTGGCCGCGGTGGTGGTGGCCGTGGCGGCCGCGGTGGCTTCGGTGCTCCCCGCGGTGGTGCTCTCAACAAGGGCAAGGGCTCCATCCCCGAGTTCAAGGGCTCCAAGGTCACCTTCTAAATGTGACAATCTTTCCAGCACTTGTTTGATTTCTCTGCAACATATCGGTGTCATGGGTCTCAGGTTTGCTTTGCCAAAAAAGTTCGTGTTTAATTATGTGTAATATGATCTTAGCTCAGGTATCTCCAATTTGATACATTTCCAATTTCTACTCTCCAGAGCTGTCTTAGACCACAATCCGACGTTCATAGGTATACTGCCACGGGTGACCGCTTTCCCCGCAATTTGCTTTGTTTTGCTGCGCCAAGACTTGAGTGAGATTCTTTGATCGTGAATCTTTTTTTTTTTCTTTGAGATTGGAATCAAGCATCTGGCAGCAGTTATCCAACATTCTTGAATTTGGATAAAGACCCCTCGCATCCCTCGCCGGGCTCCTTCACCACCGTCACGGGTCTGCAAATCACCTGGTCTGCTGATCACCTCATCATTCGATCGGGGCCTTCACTCCAGGGCTGCCTTCACTCTTCCAAGCTGCTTCGACTCTTTTCTTTCGTCACACTGATCTTGACTTCTAGCTCTCTTGATATTCATCCTTTTACCTTAACCTTCTACGGAGTATACAGGACAGCAACGACGCAGTCTGCAGCGTTTTGGGCACCGAAGATCGCACTCCACATTGATAAGATAATCTCCCCCACGTTGACCTGCGTTGACCGCTCCCCCTTGGGACACTGGGACATTTGGTGGCCTGATTTTCCCCTCTCATTCTATTTCTCTATTCTACTCTTCTATTCTATCTTCATCTGTGGCCATGCAACCAAATCACTACGACTTTCTGGGTCAGGTGCGTGAGCCTAGAGCCGCAAGTCGGATGACGCGCGACCAGCCGCTGCGAGATCATAGTGGTCAGCCCCAGCCATCCGGTGCAGCACCCATGAGATCAGAGGGTATGTTGTTTCCCATTTAAAACCCACCTGGTACCTCCCCTGCCAATCGAGGTTCAATATGCATATATATAAATCCCTTTCACGTTGATACCATGTACTCACTGCGCTACTATATAGATTCGTGGATCGATGTATCCTCACAACCATCCACTTCCTCCTTCTCCTCGGCGGCCACCACAGATGATATAATAACCACTGGGTTACGAGTCGAACAGGGAGACTCGGGGGCTTATCGACGCCATAATCGCCGACGGCGGGTCCAACATCTTGCTGCAATCACTACCGCCCAGGTCGACTATTCATCACGGGATGCTAGCCATGCCAGCAGCAGCCAAGAAGAATATGAAGAGAGTGAAAGCGAGTCCGACCGAGTACTCAGCAGTTCAAATGAAGATATGAACCACCCAACACTCCCAGCTGCTATCGCACTTCGATCTCCACTGCCCTCGTCGAGTTCAGATGCTACATCCAGCGACGATGAAGATGACACATCTACTGCCCTGGGGATGGGCATAAGCCCATCACCCTTTGTTCCCCAACCCAATATATTCACGCATCCTCCCCCCACATCAAACCCATCATCTACCCGTGTAACCCATCCACGGCGTGCCAACTCTGATGCCCCAGCTGCTCCAAACCGCCGCGCAGCTCCTCGAAGAGAATCTTACCCTAGCCAACGATCTCCCCGGCGATCTCAGCACCAGCACAGCCCATACAATATGATATCACCCTCTCACCATGCAGACCACGATGCTGCTCTTCGTGCTAGCCTGTCAACACTTCTTTCATGTGCCGCGGCTGCCCGAGGATTGCCAAAGAATGACAGTCAGCCTCCGCAAGCCGCCCCAGCAAGAGGGGCTCGGCCTTCTTCCTTCCGACTCGTTGGCGAGTCAGTCGCCATGGGAGAAGAGAGCGATAATGAAGAGACCTCACCGCAGTACCCAGAGCTGGCCCCAGCGGCCAGTATCCCAAGACACATTCGGGCACCCACTGTGACATCCGCGCCAGTCGCGCCGAAGCCAAAACGGCGCTCAAGTTCACCGAAAGACCGCAGCGTAACTTCCAAGAAAAGCCGACGCGCAAGCATGACAGACTCAGCAACTCCTGTCAGCCCCACCATCATGACCTGGGTCATCAGTGCCGGTGTTGTTGTACTGTTCTCAGCGATCAGTTTCTCCGCCGGGTACATGCTCGGTCGTGAGGTGGGTCGGACCGAAGTTGGAATGATGGGCGATGGTGCTCCTGGCCCTCGCCCCTCGACCAGCTGTGGACAGGAAGCCGTCAGAGGTGGGCTTCGAAAATTGCGTTGGGGCTCGGCGGCTGCAGGCACAGCCAGCCTTGCATAATTGTGATGTCTTGTAAACGGTGAAAATGATTTGAAACGAATGATGATGCTACTATAGTATGACGGCGCTTGATGTATCCTTCTACGTGGAAGCTCCAGCCCCGTCACTTATGGACCTCCCTCTTTACCTTACATTCTGCGCTCATCCCATCTACTCCACTGTTAAAAGGTTGCGATCGTTCCATTTGGGAACTCCGTTAACCAGAAGACTTGGGTGTATCATCCTCAAGTTTATGCAGGCAGCCTTCTGCCCCGAAGCGCTGGAGTTTGGACTTTTGTTCATGTTACTGGGGCTTTTGATATTTTTGTTTTGTACGACATCGCCAATCTATACCCTCCTTGTGTACCCAAAAATGACCTGAAATTTGTCACATCAGTCCTCGGGCTAATATATTCTACTGGAGATAAGCACCGTAATTTGAATGATATTGCAAACTTCTGCACCAGTCCACCACTGTAGGCAAGCTAGAGAAGGTTTTCATTTCAGAGCTTCCCATCCCATGTGGCCACCAAGTCGTAATACCAGTGGCTCGCCAGACATGGACAGGAATACCGCAATATCCCCACAGACAAATTGCAGAGAGTTGCGCCAGTCTGGATGTATGTATAAGAAGGGAACGCCACCCTTCCAGAACCACCCCTGTGACGCAAAGATAGAGACAGGAAGCTTGGCAGACCGAGAAAGCCCAATCGCACCTCTGTCCGTTAAGAAATGGGTACCGCACGAAGAAAACGCAAAGTGCTTAGACCACATATCGAAATCCCCGTTTCCAAGCAAAGCTCCTGATGCGACATCCCAGAACGAATATCTAACCAGCGAAGCACAGGCAACAAATGTCCCATTGGGCGAGAAACACAACGTATCCGGCTGGTTTGAAGGCCCTGTCAGCCTGCGAGGCTTCTGGGTACTCATATCCCAGAGGTTGAAGACTCCATCCCAGCCTGCAGATGCTAAGATTTTTCCATCGGGCGAGAATGCAAGCGCAGAGACCTCATCAGAATGTCCTTTCAAGACTATGTCTTCCGTACCTGACGCCAAATCATAGAGTCGAATCTCTTGACCAATCCCACAGGCAATGTGCTTCCCACAAGGCGAGAAAAAAAGCGGTACCCTTTTCACCACAGGCCTGCGGACATAGTTGGTGCTGATTATTATCTTTCGCCGCTTGTTGGCCTTCAAATCCCATATCAAAATGTGCGCCTCGTCGATGCAAACGGCGAGAGTGCTACTATCTGGAGAGAAGACGATAGAACGCGAGCCTTCAGACTTCAAGGAGAGTCTGATTCCATGTGTGCGCTTGTTGACATTCCACAGCCGAATTCCTTTGCTGAATGTACTCAGGGCGAGGAGCCTTCCATCTGGAGAAAAGTTAAACGGACTGCCGTGTAGCATCTCTCGGGAGATGATCTGGAAACTGCCTGTTTTTATGTCCCAGACCCTAGTAATGACACCGTCTTTGGAGATTGGTAGCTCAGATGCTGTGGCTACCACTTGACCGTCAGGAGAAACTGTCACGGATCTAGTAATCTCTTTGCAGGCAGGATGTGCAGTGAGGGTGTTTTGACTCTCGCCCTGGGCACAGTCCCAGAGTCGGACTGTGCGATCCTCAGACGCAGAGGCCAACAGCCTTCCGTCAGGCGAGAAGTCAAGTGCTGCAAGCCTGTCAATATTGTTTCCCAGAACATGCTGCACCTTCCCACTGGTAATGCTCCTTGTGTGTATCTTGGGACCATGTTTATAGGCAAGTAACATGGCAGCTGATGAGACAGAGACTGCATGTTCAAAGGCAGGGCATGGGAAGATGCGGGATACTTTTCCTGTCTCAACGTCCCAAACTCGTGTTGTGTCGTCGATACTAGTCGAAACCAATTGCTTACCATTGGCAGAGAATGAAATGGCCGTGATGCGGAATGTGTGACCCGACAGCGTGTACCTTTCTTTGCCTGTCGGTGCGTCCCATATACGGACTTTGTGATCATCAGACCCCGAAGCCAGGATCGTGCCATTCGGAGAAAAAGACACGATTCTAACAAGGGCCGTATGACCACGAAGAACATACAGACACGAACCACTGGACACATCCCAAATTCGGACAGTTTTGTCTTCAGATCCAGACGCCAAGCGGCTGCCATCTGGCGAGAAGGCCAAACCGAGAGCAGATCCACTATGACCCTTGAGGATAATAACGTCTTCTCCAGTCATCGAGTTGCATATGCGGACAATATTGCCAGCTGACTGTGAAGCCAAGAGCTTACTGTCGGGAGAGAACGCCACTTGTCCTGGTCCATAGGCCCCAGGGGATCGCTCGGGTGTAGGCTCTTCCAACGTGTATAGCAATTTACCAGTCATGACATTCCGCATCAGGATAGAATCAGTGTCGTCACGCCGCTGGAAGCCAAAAATCCAAACTAGCAGCAGCTTGCTATTTGGTGAGAATTCAATTCTCGCTATCGAGCCTCGTTTGCGGAATTCATTGAAGACGTGTCGCTCTGCCCCCGTTTTGGCATCCCACAGCCAAACTGTGTCTGAGTTGGCCGTGGCCAGAGTTTTGCCATCAGGCGAGAATTTCAATTTCGTTACCGGCTGTGGGTGGGATAGCGTTTGTATATTTTGAGGCCAGCCTTTGAAAAAAGATGGCTGTTGCGAGATCCACTGAGGAATTTCGTCCGCGTGGAACTTCTTGATAAGGCTTGCATCCGGAGTGAACAAAATCGCCGAGTAATATGTCTGTAATGGTGCTTCCTCGATTGCCGAGCTGTGACTCAAGATAAATCGCTTTGCATCGTATAAAATGACGTCTAGGGATGGTGGACTTTCGTCGCTGCTTTTACCTGGTGAAATGAGTCTCGCTAAGCGTCCTGGGAGAGAGAGAGGGATATTTGGGGCTGCATGTGTATCCTATGGTGTGTCAGTAATTTGAGCAGATCCAGTGAAGAACAGGGACGAACATCAAGCAACTTTTGAAGCACTGCGATCATGGAAATACCATCAGAAAGTTGGCCAAGCAAGGCGAGAGTTTCAAGCCAGAACAGAAATTGGGATTTGAAGAACTCTGTGATCCCAGGAAAGTCACGAGGGTTGAGAGAGCTTCGCTGTAGATGGTGAACCCAGTAGCGACATGCATATTGGACGTGATTTGGAATCCGTTGGTCTATAACGGACTCAGGTACATCGTAGCTTCTGTCACCTGGTGATGTGAGGTTCCCCATATTGCGGTGTAAGTGGGTAGACATGACCCGCAGACAAGATCCGAGGAGCTCTCCGTGTGCTTGTGGGGCATCAACAAAGAATGAACTATCAAGACATCTCATGGGGTCAAGCACAAAGTCGCGGAACGATGGATGAAGAAGCCTAATGACGTTTCCCTCGCCACTTGAAACGTCGACCACAGAATTAAGGCATCCCAACAAGCTCAATATCTTTCCAGTAGGTTGGTCGATCAGTTTCGAAAGATCACAAGCCGAAAGAGAGTCAAAGAGAACCATGATAGAACCGACAATGCGCTTGAATAGTTCCCTTATCTGAGCAGCCTCTTTTACTTCATCGGAGTTGAGGAAAGAGTGCTGTAACACAGTCGCATACATCTTGTCCAGTTGCAAATCTGATTTGAGCGGCTTGACTGGTTGCTCTAACAACATGGCGATTCGCTGCGTGGGAGCACCAGCACCATCCTCGACAAATCGACAAACGGTAGCAGCATGAATGAAAAGACCTTGTGACTGTTCAATAAAGAGGCGAATATTAACATCTGACTGAAAGTGCTGCTTCGTGACGTAAGGTAGTTTGGTTCTGTAGAATATAGTCAAATCATCATTAATGATTGACTGGTCAATGTCGTGAGTTATGAGACCTCGTGATATTTCACCAGAGAAGGTATCGTCAAATGCATCCTGAAGCACCTTTCCAGGTCTGCTCGTGACGAAGATTCGAACCCCAATAAGCCCATTTGAGCCGAGTGTTCCTAGGCAATGTATAAGAGCGGAAATGTTATCTGCGTCATCGCACTCATCCAGTGCATCGATAACTATGATAAGCGTTTTCGGAAATGCATCAGCAGGCATCCGCAATAGTGGCTGTAAAACGAGCCTGTCCCACTGGTCATACAAGCCAAGAGATTCCAGACGTGGATGTTCGGACACTGAATCCTCAATAAACTTGTTGATGGCTGGACACAGCTTTGCAATTTGGGCCGCTATTGTCACCACAAACTTTGCGGTTGATGAAAAATAACCTTCACCTCTAGAGAAGAAAAAGCTCGCCCCCAGTCGTTGGTTTTCATTCAGCTCCCGGGCAATAGTCAGGGCAATGGTTGATTTCCCAGTACCAGCCATACCTCGGAGCCAGTAAACATTCTGATCTCCGTGATTGTACGCCCAGGGCCGTATGTTCGCTAATATGTCGCATCGCGTGCCGTCCAAGCACGAAGGTTGCCGTCGTCTGTGAGCAGAATCGAAAGCCGCACCGGAAGCGTGGTCAGGAAGCCTTGCTATTCTAAGTGGGCGGTCTATGCGAGTTAGCTGGTCCCTTCATATGGAATGTGCACCCTTACGGCCAACGGAAGTATTTCCATTAATCGCTTCTTGAGATGGTCGTGGTGCGTCGGCTATCTCAATATCACCGAGATTCTGCACAGTCTCCTGTAGTTCGTTCTGCTTCTGCATTCTGCTATCATAAAAAACTGTGTAGTAGGGCAGTCCATGTACTGTAGAGTTTCAAGATATTATACGAATGGCCAAGCACGGGGCGCACAGCCCCGCAATGAGGCTGGGCAAGGTGGCTCTCGCATTATGAGGCTCTTTACGGCATATCACGCGCCGCGGTCTCACAAGTTTAGTCTTTTCCGTTGTTTCTCACTCGCTGAGTGTCGTGACCCAGGGGTAACATCGAACTGGTGGCACTTGTTGCGCAGTGGCAAGAGAGGACGGATTCCGTTGTTGACCGATTGAAGCAACTGGAGACTTTCCATAGTCAAAGCTCCAACAAACAAGATGTGCCCGGGACTTGCGGTTTGGCTTGCTATACAACCCTGAAGGAATCATATCCTGGATCGTCGTCGTCGGGCTCTCCCCTCATCCGCCTTTGGTTCGAGAACCCCGTCAAGCTGATACATCACAGTTGCAGGGGATTTGAACAAGCAGCTCTGGGAACCTTGTAGGCAATCAAGGGGTACTCCTGGGCTGTGAGTATCTCCATGTCAACACCGCGTAGACACGCAAGAGCAACATTCGGTACCAGATTCCGGGGATCTACGAGATCTGCAGGCTAGTCCGAAAGAGGCAGTAAGCGCTGACTCATCCATCCAATTTTGAGACCGCATCTCCTGGTCGATCGCACACCCCATGTCTAGCGCGTTTTTTAAGGAGTTATTCTTCTTCAAAGACACTAGCAACTGGGGAGAGTGGGTACCTGCAAAACTCTTGGGGAATGAGTTCAGACAATGACACCTGCACCAAGCCGACGCAAGCATTTGAAGAGCCGGAATGGCTGTATTCAATGCAAGAAGCGTAAGATAAAATGTGATGAAAATGGCAAAATCCCGTGCGCACAATGCGTCAAGAGTCGCCATGATTGTTCCTTTGCTCCACCACAGCCTGTCGTTGACTCCAACTTTTCACCTGGCGCTTTACTCGACCTCAAACTATTACACAATTTCACGACCAAAACAGCGCCAACACTATCATCGACGTCGGAGGCCCGTCTGTGCTTCTCTACCAGCATGGTGGAGCTTGCGATGCAGCATGATTTCCTGTTGCATTGCATCTTGGCACTATCCGCTTTTCATATAGTCAGCCAACGAGAACATGGGGAGTTTTCTCATTCATCGATTGGCGATCACCCCAGAGAGGTTTATCTTCAGGCGGCTTATAAACACCACGAAAGTGCTTTGAATGGCTACCGACGGAGTCTGTCCTCGGTGACCTCAGCCAACTGCCATGGCATCTTTGGTTGCTCGGTTCTCCTGTTCATAACGACATTCGCTCGACCGGCAGAGTCCGCACTGTCACCAGGTCCATCAAAGGCTACCCAAATCGAGGTATGGCTGGGCTTTCACTTGTCAGAGTGGGTTATTCTTATTCGAGGCCTACCGTCTATCGTCGGCTATACTGAATTTCGTGCCGCTCTCTCAAACGGACCACTTGCCTCACTGATGACCGCTGGTGACCGGGCACGGGCGAATGCAGAGATCATCGAACCACCGCACAAAGAAGCTGTTTTACTAGCCCTCCATCGTCTTACGGAGGGCATTCGACATCTATCCCCCGATGAGAGAATAATTCGAATCTGCCTTTCTGCAATTGAGACGCTCCACACCGTCATCACGGAGTTGCACCATTCCAACGACCATGCACTTGCATTTATTTGGCCAATCAGGGTCCCATCCGAGTATTTTGAACTTCTGGAGGCAAGAATACCGGAAGCTCTATCAGTCTTCGCATACTATTGTGCTATCCTCCACGTCACGAGCTCAACTTGGTGGACCAAGGGCTGGCCTCGACCAATAATCGACTCTATCGGAGAGACAATCGACAAACAATGGAGCCCATTACTCCAGTGGCCCCTGGACATGGTGTTTCGCAACTCAGAAAGTATTGGGACAGTGTTATTGCCTGTTCCAATTCTGCCTCCACCAGGGATGTATGGCCCCAGGTCAATCTAATGCATAATCTTCATACCCCAATACCCTTCCAAGGTTCATCAAAATTTACAACATTTCAACTATTCATGCCGTGTATACCATGCCAACCGATAATTTCCCCTGCTGGCACGAAGGGACCATAAGACTATCCAAGCATGATCCAAAGTACAACAGTGGGTCTATTCAGGTAAACTGTATTTCCATAGAACTAAAAGAGCCATATGCATACTGTATGTAGTGGGTTGGTTCCAAGGTTCTTGACAATTAATCGAGGAACAAAAAAATCCTCATGAATCCAGACCGGTTTGGACCCAGACGGTGGCATCTCTCAACCCTGCCTTTGCTAGGGCTGTCCGCAAACCGTCTCCCGTTGTTGACACTTGGCACCCTAAGGCTCAACCTGTCACGGTCTCCCTGCTAGTAACGCGGGCGAACCAGACGCGCAGGGCTTACCTAGTGTGACCATTACCAAGGGGGTGATCAGCCCCCAGGGTAACCAAGGATTGAAACTTTAGAGTGTCAAGGCCTCACAGGCGGTAGCATCCTGGTGAACATCCTCTTTAAAACCTAGGTACCTAGGGGGATGTCAAGTCAAACAGAGATCTTGACCATTAGACTACCGGGGGAGGTTGGTTGAAATAAAGGACTTTTTGTTCCTCTTATAGACCCTCATAACTTTTGGTATATGTTACATGGGTATCTTTGAAGCTGAATTGCTCATCCCCCAGGCGTCATAGAAGCCTGGTTCTTTGCTCAATTCTATTCCTGGGGTGACTGTTATATATGCCCGAATCCGAAGCTGATCAAGCGATCCTACAATGAAAGAGATCTATTTGAAGTTTTCACCTCTACTTACCTCTTGAGTTGAAACCTGAAGTCTTTCAAGTATCACCAAATGAAGAAGGAGCTCCTTCCATTTACGGAGAAGCCAGATGTTCGAGCCCAGCTCTGAGCCTGATTTTTGACGCTTCTATTTCCTTTCTTTTTTCTCCCCTTTCCCATCAACCATCTTCCTTGGACCGATGTTCTTATAAGTGCACCCATAGACGGAGATACTGTATACTGATACCTCGCGTCCTACCAAGCCAAGGAAGTGGATCTTCCCCACAGCGCTGAAGATAAACTGACCAATCAGATGAGGTAATTGGATTGAGTTTCCGGCCCTAGACCTTATCCGGTGGGCGAAGACAACGCTAGTCCTCATGTGGCTAGTGCTGCTTCTGCTGCGGGCCTGCGGCTTTACGCCGACAACTTTGCCAATTCCACTCTTTGAAGTGTCAACGCGGACATGTGGTGTATGCAACCTCGTTCGTCCAAGGTCCAAGAAGATAGACATTTTGCGGTCCCGCGCTGAATGTGGCGAGTACCGCGAGAGGAAAACACAAGTGGGTCAATCCCAACAGGACGAAGCCTCGAATCTCGATATAGTACCCGTCTCTGCTCACTGAGATACAGAAAATGCGACGCAAGAAATCCATCTAGAATACGCCCACTGGGTTATTCCAAGTGTTTCCTCCAAATGTCTGGCTTTGTCTTGTTGATGCATACATCAGCGTCTCTTTCACCCTACATGCTGAGACGATATCTGTCTGCCTGCTGTTCGTCCAATGCTTCAATCTACATCTCTGCAAATGTAGGTCCATCAGTCGCTCAACGATAACATCTGGATGGAATTTAGATTTGGCTTTTGATGAGCACGCCCTATATCTGCTCGCTTGAACTCCGGTGTCATTTTTCTCCACTGCCTCTGTCAAAAGTTCTTGTACGAAATCATCATTCATGAGGGCGACGCATTGTGCTTCCAGGAATTGATCGCGAGTCCCAGCGGTTATACTTGGCTGGCTGCTCAATGACGGAAGTAATCGCCAATGATGAAAGAGTTCACATATCTGAGCGGCGCTCGAGGGTTCGAGGGCTACAAAAAAATAGCCTAATTCAAGGAACAGTCCAATCAGTCTGACCAACGGCTTCCAAGTTGTACTGTTCACGTTCTGAGCAAGCGCTAGGCCACTGCGGTCTACTAGTAATTGATTCTTGTGTTCATTTGACCTAGAGAAAAATCTTGGTCACTACCCAGGTGGCGTACTGCATAGCTCTCTACAATACAACACCTCCATACCATCCATGGACATTCAAGATGCAATGGCATATAGTATATCCGGTTAACTTCAACACATCCACGGATGGGTTGTAAATCTGGGCACGGAGATCTCGGATGGGAAAGGCAAATGTCAGCCAATCAGAAACAGCAAAAAACTCGCTGAATCAGTCGTCCACCGCCCGCGGTCAGCACGGGTAAAGTGACTGGGGGCTGGTCCCGGGCCTTACCCGCGGATAAGGACTACCCCGGCCACCCCGCGGCCCTATAATAGGGAACCAGCCGCCACTCGGCTGTTGTCGCTGACCGATGCCAGAATGCGACAATCTATGATTCACGGGATCAAACCATTCGGCAGGTGGCGACGGTATTTTTTTGGGTTTGGCACCGTTGCGGCTCCCCCACAACCATGACCAGCCGAGCAAATGCCGTAGTCGACTGTCTATATAGACCTCCATGATCTCCCCGTATTTTTCTCCTTTCTCATTATCCATCATCCATCAATTCACACACAATGGCTCCCCGTCAATTCGATCCCACTTTCACCCCCTCTGTCATCAATGGCATGGGTCCCAAGACTCCCGAGCGTGCTCGTGTTGTTCTGGGCTCTCTGATCAAGCACATCCACGACTTTGCTCGTGAGGTCGAGCTCACCTCCGCCGAGTGGATGCTCGGTGTTGAGTTCATCAACTCCATCGGACAGATCAGCACTCCCATCCGTAACGAGGGCCACCGCATTTGCGATGTTATCGGCCTTGAATCGTGAGTCCCACCGCTACTTTCATCTGATTTTTTTTGACTTCAGAGTCAAAAAAAGTCAAAAAATCGAATCATCCAAACTGACTGATTTTACTAGCCTTGTCGATGAGATCGCCAACAAGATCATCACCGAGGACGGTGTCTCCCCCACCTCCAACGTTATCCTCGGACCCTTCTGGTCCCCCAACGCCCCCTTCCGCGCTCTCGGCGACAGCATTATCCAGGACCCCAAGCCCAATGGTCGTGTCACTTTCATGCACGGTGCCATTAAGGATATGGAGACCGGCAAGCCGATCGCCGGTGCCGTCCTCGACATCTGGCAAGCTTCCGCCAACGGCCAGTACGATTTCCAGGACCCCACCCAGAGCGAAAACAACCTGCGCGGCAAGTTCACCTCCAACGAGAACGGAGAGTTCAACTGGTACTGCTACCACCCCACTCCCTACTCTTTGCCCACCGACGGCCCCGCCGGTGTCCTCCTCGGCCTCATGGACCGCTCCCCCATGCGTCCCGCCCACATCCACTTGATGATCACCCACCCCGAATACGCCACCGTCATCAACCAGATCTACCCCAGCGATGACCCCCACCTTGCCATTGACTCCGTCTTCGCCGTCAAGGATGATCTCGTTGTGGACTTCAAGCCCAAGACCGATGACCCCAAGGCCACCCTCGACCTGGAGTACAACGTCAAGATGGCTCTCAAGAAGCACCACCCCAACCCCAACTCCGCTCCCCCCGTGTCCTCCTTCGAGCGCCACGCCAAGGCGGCTGCTGGCAAGCTCTAAAAAGCCAATTACATCTGGGACGGCGTTTTTCTTCATGACTCATGTACAGCTAGCATTTTTTGACTCTTACGAGATAACCTCACGTTTCAATGAACATTTCACTTCAAAATACTTCCAATGTAGATGGCACGTGCGAACAATCTCGATCGCGCCGTGCCACAGTAGATCATCCGCATCACGGGCATTACCTTAATTACCCGCATGCATGAAGACCCTGACCCCGGACTCTGCGGCGTCAGGAGTAAGATTAATCCCTGCTTGCCACTGGCAGCTAAACATTCACCCGCCGGCCCGCGTTATACATTTTCCCCCCACCCCATTCGCCTCCACACGTCCCCTCCAGAACGGAACCTTGGAACTTTGGAAGTGTCTTTTGAAGCAATAACTTGGAACCCTTCCAGTGATCTACCTTTTGATTCCCAATTTTGATTTGAGAATCCCCTGGAGCATCAAAGACTTAGGGCGAAATAGAGACACCAATACGGGTGCAAGCCCAGAAACAAGCAGTCAATTTCAATCAATTCCAACTACCTAGAAGGTCCTGTGAGGATGACCAGACGGATCAGGTCTCCAGGAAATGTCGTTCTCGGATGGCTCATTATAAGCGGTTGAGGACTGTGGCTTCGCGTGGCGAGTTCTATCCCCATCGATGATATTGGCATGATCAATGGCGTCCTTGAAGTCTCTTGCTGAGTCGTAATGTTAGCGAGCGTGGATTCATATGTTCTAGTCTTAATCAAGACTTACTAATTCGCTCATCAATATCCCCAGATCCGGGCTCAATGGGATCCTGCATGTCTCCGATATCAATGTTGGAATCTAGGATGTGACTCCTGCCAGACATATGCTTGGAGTCGTGGCCTGATTTTGGAAGTGGTTCCATTTTCAACAATTGTCAATGGGAGATCTCGGAAGTTTTGCAATATCGAGTAAGTCTCGATTTTAAATTTGCCTGCCTCCTGGGCTGCACGGTGGCCTCGCTTTTATGTTGGAGGGCTGCTGCATCGTCATCATGACTATTGATGACATTTATTTGCCCCGTAGGTCGCCTCTAAGAAGGAAGATACAATTTGTACATGTAAGATGTACTCGTTCATCTAGATGCTTTGCCAAACAACCTTGAACTTGGAAGATATTAATGTCAGCATCGTCGCACATAGTGTGCCTGCCTTCAACATTCGTTAGTATCAACAAACGGAACAAATTAGGAACCTCGAGTAATCACTTGGCCATAAGTGGCCATGGTTGCCACTACCTAGTAGATCGGGAATACATTAGCCACCGAAGTATATAATTTTCGACTTAGGTGTGCCCCGGTGGACTTACTAGGTAGTACTAGGTAGCTCATTGACTTTGCTCTTGGTCTGCAGCTTTTAGATGCCTCCGGGCTCAGCAACCTTGAAATCTAACGAACCACTCTTCTGATTATCGATTAACGTGTAGTTTTGTACAGATCTCTACATAGGCATGGATGCTTTGAAATACTTGGGAGGTTATAAAATGGCGCAGATATTTCATTGTTGAACTGTGGTAGTCCGTATGTACACATGGAGTCATAGACCATGATATATAATGGCTTGTCGAGCGTAATCTCGTGTGTTGGTAGGTGTTTCAAATCGCAGATTTATCCAGGTAATCTACAAGTCCTACACCATTGCGAGAAGAACAACATTAAAAAGAAAAGAGACAAAAAGAAAGATAGAAACTAATCGTCAGAGAGAGACTCCCATGGATACACGCTCATGTGACCGCGGTGGGCTCCAGTTTATCAGTCATCTCTTATCAGCTTTTGAACTTTGCGCTTCTCTCCATCTCGAAATAAACAAGATGACGAGTGACGATCAGTTCTTTTTCGACTATGTGAGTCTTGAATTGCAACTGCATTCTCAGTGCTGACGATAGGCAGCTTGCGTCCATACCTCATGACGTAAGACGGTATTCCCTCGAAGTCGCAGACTCCATCGACCGGCAAGTTGACTACGCCGCGAAATCGCTTAAAGACACACTGGCACAGCAGACATGGCTACCCCCAACTATCCGACCCGCGCGCGTCAACCCGAGAGGGCGCTCGTCGCAAGGCTTCACGGACCGTGTGCAGAACTGGATGGCTAGTAACCGCGCATGGACTGCGGCTATCTTCGCGTTCATCGGTACTGGTGTAGTCTTGTACTATGGAAGCAAGAAGCTTCATGGCAAGCGCAGGAAAGCCAAAAGAGCGAGCAACGGCGGGCGAAAAGAGATCGTGGGTACGTGCAACACCATGTCCAGTTGAGCTAGCATCGAGTATTAATCCTTCGCGCAGTTGTCGCCGGATCGCCCCACGAACCGATGACCAGAGCTATTGCTACGGATCTGGAGCGCCGAGGATACATTGTATACGTGACCGTGTCTTCTGCGGATGAAGAGCAGATCGTCAAGTCTGAGAATCGCGCCGACATCAAGGCCCTTTGGCTGGATCTCACAACAGTAAGCACTCTCCGTCTGCGTACCGAGATCCAAACTAACTTGCTCCATCAGACTGCCTCTTCGCCCTCCGATATCCACCCCTCATTGCAAGAAATCTGTTCCCTCATCACCAAGCCGCAATCTCCTCTCCCCGGAGTGCCCCCGCACACCTGCCAACTGAGTGGCGTGATCGTGATTCCGTCACCAAACTACAGCGCAGGCCCTGTCGCAACCATTGCACCCTCGTCCTGGGCCGACACAGTCAACACCCGCCTCCTCTCACCCATCCTCACCGCACAGGCCTTCCTCCCCCTCCTTACCCTGCGCAGCAACAGCAGCACACTCCTCTTCGCCTACCCTTCCATCTCCTCTTCCCTCTCCGCGCCCTTCGCCGGACCCGAAGTAGCAACCACACGAGCCATCTCCGGCTTCGCAGACTCTCTCCGCCAGGAGCTCCGCCTCCTCGAAAACAGCAACGTAAACGTTGTCGAGCTGCGCCTCGGAAACATCGACCTAGGCCCCGTCTTCCGAGCCGGCCAGAGCCAAATCGCCGGCACAGAAGTGCTCACCTGGAGCACCCAGCAGCGCGCCCTCTATGCCTCGCAATACCTCAACAGCGTTGAGCAGCGCCCCGTCGCCTCAGCCGGTCCCGGCACAGTTCGTGGATCCCCGGCGCGCAAGCTCCACTATGCTATTTTGGATGCATTGGAGCCCACTTCACTGGACGTGTTTGGTTGGAGGACTTCCAAGAAATCCGTCATGTACGTGGGCCGGGGGGCTCGCTCTTACAACTTGATTGGTGCCTGGGTCCCGAGTGGACTCGTGGCGTTGATGATGGGGTACCGCGGAAATGGAGCTGATACCCCGATCAGTGCCAGCGGCAGTGGCAGTGGCAGTGAGACTTGGGAGAAAGTTTAGTGCTATTTTAAGCACCCCGTTCTACTCCTTTAATCTAAAAGCTCTCACTTCTGATTGTCTGTACATATTATTGTTACCAATACTCTTCGCTCTTAATGATATTCAGTCTGTCTGATTCGACTACCGTGTTCAAAACCTTGGAATCACTCTTAGTACGGAGTAGAGCACGCAAAAATGGACAGATCAAGCTAGCCGCACCTGGGCACGAGTTTGAAACACGAGCTCGTGTAGGGCCTCGTGTGGGGAGTACGCAGTACGAAGAAGTACATGGAAGCTATCATATTTACAGAATGTAAGAAGCAGGACAGATTAGAGGATCAGGTATGCATTATCACATATAGATATATCATTTCATTCAAGTTAGCATGAAGCATTAGTGAGATCACATCTGATCATTATGAGGCACATGTAGAGCATGTCATGGGAGCACATAAAAATGCATCTTCAGACCGACTCTTTCATCTCACCCGACTCAGCCACCGCACTCACCGGTACACCGCCAGCGATGCGCAACGGATCCTTCCTGGCCCTCCTGACCTTACCCTTGACGAGCCAGCAGCGCAACCAGATCAATGCCCAGGAAACCAGGAAGATGACCAGGATGGCAGCTAGCACGCCGAAACAATAGCCGGTGACGAGTCCACTCTTCTGCCCATGGTCTCCGACGTCCAGGAAGGTATACGGATAAAAGCCCTGGGTGTGGAAGGTGATGTACGCGACACAGAGGTAGAAGAGCAAGCCGAGAACGAGGAATGGCAAGGCAATCCACGGGTGTGGTGAAGTGGTAGGCAGAGCAATTTCGAGTAGTGCATAGAGCGAGTTCAAGGCGTGCTGGGTGATCTACATGGCCAAAGCATCAGTTTCGTCATGAGTGGGGTTGGACAGGTCCAGTTCGGATAGATCGGAAGACAATGTTTGTTTACTTCCTGTACGGAGTATAGTACTTACGTTTGACCAGCCGGTGAAGGTCTTGCTATACCAGGGCCCTTTGAAAATGATTCCCCAGAAGACAATGGTCACCAGGATTGGGTAAGTGGTGATGCTCGAGTAGAGCAGACTGTGGAGGATGCGCAATGCCCGCGGCCAGCGGTAGAGGAGTGATCGACCGGTTCGTGCATAGTACGTGGTGTGGATGGCGGCGAAGAGCATGTAAAAGCCGATTCCCCAGTAGGTCAGCCAAGTGAAGAAGCTGAATGTTTGGCCGATGGCCGCAGTGTCCCCGTGGGTGCCATCCCAGCCCCAGATGAAGAAGATGGAGGTGAAAATGTACAGGGCAATGAGGCCGCGTAGCCCAGCCAGGATGGCAGGCGGGAGGAGCCAGGATGTCTCAAATTGCCGTTTGTCATCGGTCGTCTTGTCCACTCCGAAGAGCGTGGTTAGTGGGATTCGACGCATGTCGCGTGCCTGGTCCGAACTGACGCCGATGAGGCAAGAGATAGAGAAGAGAGAAAATGGAAAATGGCAAGCGTTGCATCAGCCCTACGGAAGCTACGGAAACTAGTTGTGAGTGCAGCTGGACGACTTTTGCTAGTGGTATATCGTACGCAGCTCGCAAGCTCTGCATAGGGCTCGGTTACGACATCTGAGGTCGTAGTGCATGTGCCCGCTTCTAGTGCCGGATTTAGCACCAGTCGCCCCCACCAGCGTCGGCTTTGCACACCGAAAACGGGTTCAGCTCGAAATTGGATGTCTCTGCGAATCAAAGCCTGTCGGGATGGAAGTCCAAAGGCGATTCCCAGGTGATGATGGTGAGACTTGAGGTAGATACGAGGGAGGCGGAAGTATGAATACTAGTAGTCCAAGGTAGTACTCGTGTACGAGGACTCTACTACTGTAGTAGTAGGACAAAGCGAGATATTTCAATTCCAGAGAAGTCGGAAGGATCCGAAGAGACTGAAACAGAGTCAGTTCTGTTATTAGTAGTTCTGTTAGTTCTGTTAGTTCTCGTCGTGCCTAAAGGCTCTTCACGAACGGAGTTTCCAATTTAAGAATTAGTGGGACCCGCCCGTCGATGATTGGTGAACCAGGACAACAACGTTCATGGACCTGGCTGACCATTCCATGGTACCTTTCCCGAAGGCGGTCACAGCGGACAGAATAAGGAATCTGATTTTCAACTAAGACATTTAGCGGACTTAGTGTCGATTGTCTAAGATGGTTAAGTTCGTTCAGAATCGGAAAATCGCCTGGGCTAGAACGTCCTCCACTTCTCGATTGCAACGAATTCGATGTCCGGAATCTAGTAACTGATAGTAAGTGGCTCTTTATTATATTATAGGGGCGCCTTACTCCAATATACATATAGCCAATGATTGGCTCTGTGACCCGAACTACTGGATAGCAATTCTTTCTGTTTGACCAGTAGACTGGGTAAGTTTGTTTGCCCTGTCTATAGTACAAGCATCTTCAGATCTATAGTACTATACATATAGTATATTAGTACTGTATATCACCTGGGCCATGACGGAGCCGTTTCAGGTACAATCCAACATGCAAGGAATTCAACTCGATGAAACCGTGTGGAGAGTGTCAGAAGGGAATTCTAGAAGATTGCGGGTCATCACAAAACACTCCGATACGTGAGGCCGGCCAGAATCCAAGGCAATAGTCGACTGATATTCGAGTCGGGGAACTCGCAGGCCAATTATAACGTCCACGGGCCCGTGACTATGCAGATGGCGTCAAGGTGTCGCTTGGCGACCCCCTGAAGCTGCTGTTCCCCTGAGACGATCTTCTCAACGTCAGTGGATCAATTTCTGTTTTAGTGCACGGGGCTACGTTGTCATGTCTTTCGCATTGTGATCGTCAGGGCCTTCCGTGTTTCTCCTTTCTCTCTCCCGTTTCTAGGCCTCGTCCTGTCCTTGCATCTCTCCCCTGTAGGGCTGTCATTCCTTGTGCTTTCCCCCGCCCTTTGTCCTCCGTCCTCTAAGAATCCGATGCCGCAAGATTCGTCCCCTCCGACTGCTGGATGACTCTTGATACTGCACACCCGACACGATACCGAGCCGTGAATCACCTAATCTCGCCCCATCATGCATATGAGAGGAAAGCTGGGCGATTGTCGCTCCACGTCTCATGATACCTTGCGGAGCGGCATGCCCTCACCGCGGGTCGCGCATTTCGACGGTGAGGTGCCGCCCGCGCTGTCCCCCCTCGACGCCTTCGCCGCCCAGGGTCGCTTTCTGGCCCGCCAGCTCGACGAGTCGAGACGAGCAGATCGTCGCATGAGCCGCTTGCCACCCTCTAGTGTCGCCCGATCCCTTTCACAAGGCCGCCCAGGCTTCTCTCGTTCCAAATCCTCCGCCGACGTCGACTCTCGCACCGAACTCACCCGCCAGCCCACGCAGAAGGCCCTCCCCGAATTCGAGGAGCCCAAGTACCGCCCGATATCTGAACACCCGCGATTCAGTTCCGTTTCCAATGCGAGTACCGAGGCGAGCTTCTACGAAGATGACGACGCCACACCCCGCACGACGATGGTTGGCACACCAGAGGAGGCGTATGGCATGCCGCGCACCGCATCCCCCGAGGATGTGATGTCGCTGCCCAGCGGAGCGCAGCCTCCTGCTGGCGTGACTCTGGTCGAACCCCGCGGCTCATCGACCGACTCCCAGAATTCACGATTGAACATTCCGCGCACACTTGCACCACCGGTTTCTCCAAACTCACGTCCAACCAGCGCCGCCAGGACTACACACCCCGAGAGCTCTGATGACGACTACAGCAGTTCGACCGGTGGCTCAACGTTCTCCAAGCCTAGGAAGTTGTCCTCTGGGAGCGCAGTGTCGCTACCGTACTCCCCCAAGTCGAATTTCCCTCCGCGCCCACACCCCCGATCACCATCGCTGAGCTCGGAAACATCAGCTACCGGGGCGCACCACCTCCCCCGACCTTCATTCAACTTCTCCCGTCCCCTGAGTCGCTCGAGCACGAGCTTATCAGCCCCTGGAACTTCGACCCCAACCGAATCATGCACCACACCTACACCGACCCAGATGCAACGGCGTAGCAAGCCGACTCCACTACTGCTACCTCTTGGAACCGAACAAGCCGCCGCTACTGCTCCTAATGGAGACGAGCCATCATCTGCCGTATCGTCATATACATACGCGAGCTACGCACTCCCCCGCGGACGCTTCCTCTCTCGAGATTCGGTGGTCTTTGCAGGCCTGCAAACGCCTCACTTCGAATGGGCAGAGCCGCTCTTCGAGAAGACTCCCCCGCGCAACTCGAGGGACCTGTCCCGGACGGCACGCACGCCCTCTCCGACTCCACGCCGCGTGGAGCACTCTCCCAAGCCTCATTCGATGCACGAAGTTCCAGCCACATGTCCACAGACTCCTCCCCAACCACAATTCCAACCCGAAACGCCCAAGTCCAGCAAATCCACCAAGTCTACGAAATCACTCCAACCTCCCATTCCCTCCGCAGAGCCGCTTCCCCGGCGGTCGGCCGAAAGCGCCCGACAGAGCACCGAGAAGAGCGAACCTGCCTCATCTGCAGACTCCGTCAGCACCGCGCGGCCCACAACCGCGGTCACCCCAGTGAAGGTATCCGGGCTGACAGCAGACGACCACGTCGCCAAGGGGATCGAATGCCACGAACGAGGCTCACTCAGCGAATCCACCTACCATCTGCGCGTAGCCGCGAAACAAGACCACCCAACGGGCATGCTACTGTATGCGCTGGCTTGTCGACATGGCTGGGGCATGCGGTCGAATGAGAAAGAGGGCGTGCGCTGGTTACGCAAGGCTGTGGACTCCGTTGGATTGGAAATGCTCGCCAATCCTGACGCCCCTGGTGCTTCCAAGGCGAAGGAACTCCAGAAGGCTTACCGCGCGCAGTTCGCACTCAGTATCTACGAATTGGGTGTGAGCTACCTCAATGGCTGGGGTATTGAGCAGGACAAATCGCTTGCGCTGCGCTGTTTCGAGATTGCGGGCCAGTGGGGCGATGTTGATGCCATGGCCGAGGCTGGTTTCTGCTATGCTGAGGGCGTTGGCTGTAAGAAGGATATGAAGAAGGCGGCGAGGTTTTACCGTCAGGCTGAGTCGAAGGGCATGAGCATGGTCGGAAATTCTTGGTAGGTTGTGCTTCCCTCTGCCTTTCGGCTTTCACTAACATGTTTGTAGGATCTACAAGGATAAATACATGGCCGAGGCCGAGGCCAAAGAGTCGCGCTCTCGAGGAAGAAACGCTGGCCGAAATGCCAGTGGCGAGAAAGAGAAGAAGCCCCGGAGCAAATCTCGAACTCGCAGTATCTTCCAGCGCAAGAAATCCATCGTCCCAGAGGCATAGATTGCCCATCATCTTCATTTCAATTTTTGTTTCTTTTTTCATCATATCTTTGGTCATTTCCCTTTGTTTCATGTTGGTACTTTACACCACTGCATCCTGCTGTTGCATCCTGCTGTTGAAGCGCCCTCAAGCCCTTCGATTGACTTGGTTTTGATTGCATCCTTCGCATTCGCGCACTCCTTTGTTCCTTTCCTCATGTTTGTTTGACTTCTTCCGAGCCGCCTGGGCAGCTGTTTTCGAGTCACATTGTGTCTCGCAGGCTTAATACTTCAATTCTCCGTGGATACCCTCTATTTCCCCATCTTTTTGCCACCCCTTTCCTCCTTTCTCTTTCTCTTCTGGCATCTTTCATTTTCATTTCATGGCCATATTTCTTTCATTTTGGATCGAGCTTTCCGGACGCACATTGCGATGAATATCATGACAGATTCTAGACCCTGATCTGCTTTTGAAGCCCTTATCTCCAATATAGCCCATATAGAATGGACCTGTTTTCCCCCGGGTTTTGGCCCCCCTCATTTCGGAGGATTGACCTAACCTGACTAGATTCCCTAAAGAGGCTTGACAGTTAACCTAAAACGACACTGGCGTCGGTTCTTTTGGTTAACGCCACAGATGCTCGTGCCCCGACGGTCTGAATACGGGCCTTACCCTTGCATTGAGGGCTCTTGGCGCCACGCCATAAGCTGCTAGTTTCACCAGGACCCAATCAGCACTGCGTTCATGCAGTTTACACAATGTAACCGCAGTTTTTGGCAAAATGTCAGTTGCACAGCGCCGTTTAATTTGATACTGCAATGTGGCATCAGATGCCCTGGTTCTCTCACACCTCGGCTTTGTTTCGTTTCATGTGGATGTACAGGCGATGAGCCAGAATTGGAACTGAGACATCCAGACCCCAGATCTGATCTCCACAATGCAAATCCGGAGTTCCCCAGATGATCGATGGTCCAGATGATCGATGGTGATCCCTAAGTGTCGGCTACCGTCGCTATCAGCCACCCTGCATACCCCTTTTTTGCTTTTGTTACTTGTATTTATTTAAATTGCTCGCATGTGATGCCCAAAGCTTACGGCTTGCTTTCGAAGATCGGACATGCAGCCCGGTTTATTATAAAAGAAACCACCCGCTGTACGTGGTACCAGGTTCATTCTCGATCCCTTTCGGCTTCCGGCTTTTTGGCCCGTCTCCCCTGTGGTCCGGTATGTATTTCTGTGCCCAGCAATCAAGCCCGCATTAACGGATTCCAGTCTTGACAAAGATGTCCGCCACAAAGACCTCCATCGTGGAAGAAGCAGGCGTTTCTTCCACGCCAGTTAAGCAGAGCTTCGGTGCACGAGTCGCAGCCCACTTTAAGAAATGGTGGTGGGCGCATTTGATCGTTTTTGTGATTTCAGTCTTGGTTATTGTGCTCCCTGTGTAAGGCTTGTTTGCTTTCGTGGATTGATTCAAGACTAACTCTTTCAGTGTTTATGTCGGATACCCGAAAATTGCTCAAGATGCCGTTAATGACTCTACTCTTGATATCAAGGAGATGGTGATCAGTGATCCAACACCTGACTCTTTCCACCTCAGTCAGAAGCAGATTCTGGGCTCGGATAGCTCGTACCACCCGCAGATCTTTGCATTCGATGCCGCGGTCTCGCTGGGCGGTGGAGCGGCGCCGTTTACGACGGTGACCGTCCCCGGCGTCAAGTCCAACGATGGTGTCGAGATCAACGTTGACCAGGACGTTGATCTGTCGGATTCCGATGCCTTCGGCGACTTCGCTACCGCTGTTATGATGAAGAAGGAGGTCTTGCTTAACATTTACGGACGCCCGAAATTGCAGCAGGGGAGTCTGCCCAAGACCACGGTCACCTACAACAAGACCGTTGCTATGAATGGTTCGTTACTACGCAAATCCCAGTCTACCGCACTAACTCATCAAAGGCCTAAACCAACTCGAGGGCTTCGCCGTCTCTGAATTCCACATCATGATCCCCTCAGTCAACGGATACAACATGAATGGAACAGTCTTGATCCCCAACCCTTCCGTCATGACAATCACGATGGTATCTCTCTCCCCCAGCGATATTTCCATGCCAAACCACTAACAAAACAGGGTAACCTATCCCTCAACCTAGCCGTTGACGGCAAAGCCATGGGAACGACCTATCTGAACGACCTCGTCCTCAAGCCAGGCAACAATACTGTCCCCATGCTGGCCAAAGTAGACCAAAGCGCTGTCATTGGCCTGCTTACTTCGAGCAGTAATCCATACAAGGATGGGATTGTGCCCTTTGATATTACGGGCAACTCGAGCACATACAACGGCAAAGAACTGCCGTACTTCACCAAGGCTCTTTCGGCTAATAAGCTCACTGTCAAGTTGGATGTTGGTGCTGCGCTGAAGGAGATTGGATTTAATTTGATTAAATCGGCCTTGGGTGTTTAGAATGTAGGCCATTGTTCGGATTACTGTTTCGTTTGCCGTCGAGCGTGTCTTGTATATAATACCTTTTATGAAAGAATGTTGTATGGGTGTACCCTGGAGTTCTTCATCGTGATAATTACTGAATTCTAGGGGGTAGTTCGTTCACCTAGGTAGTACTAGGTATCACTACATATTGGCATACGGCGGCCAACGGGGTTGGTTCCAAGGTTCTAGCCGACTGGATTAGGTATATGCTGGTCCACGCCGGGGAAAATATTGATAGGTTGAGCGCCTCTGCGTCGTAAAGTGACTGCCGCATGACTTGACATAAATAATGTTAGATACAATGCGATGAAGTTATAGCTTGTGATATGCCCGTGGAATGTTGTCATAATAAGGCACCACCACGAAGTTGGGATCATCAGTCAATCCAACCATTGCAGTGGTTATAGGGTGAACAGGCTTCCGATCAACAACCAAATTGACGCAGCTGGGACCCCGCTCGGCTTGCAGCCTGGTGACCGTACTCTGGATACCAGAGATGTGCATAATCTTCGCAGCCGAATTTTGCAAGCCACGAGCCACGAGCTCGTACTGTGTTTCTGGGTTGAGGGCACTGACCAGACGGGCTGGATGCTTGGATCCATAAACGATATCTTGGCCATTAGAACTCATGCCCCAGCTGGAATTGTTGACAATGACAGTCATAATGTTGAGGTTGAATCTCTTGAACGTATCCAATTCCATCAGATGGAATCCAGCAGACCCATCCCCTTGAATGTTCACTACTTTCCGGTCCGGATCTGCAACCGCACAACCCAGCGAGTACCCGAACCCATTCCCCAGGAAACCGAGATAACCAGTGGAAGTGAGAACAGTGCTTGGCTGGGAGAGCGCAGCGAGATCAGCAGCCCACGCCGATGCCTCGCCTCCATCTAAGACGATAATACTCCCGGGCTCGACGGCAGACATGACCTGCTTCATAGCATGGTAAGGATGAAGAGCGCCACAGTGAGACTCCTTCGGTTCTTTCTCGAATGGCGATTCCAGTTTCGCGACCCCCAGGACAGACTCGACCCAGGATCTGTCTACTCTTCTTTGGAAAACGGTCGTAACGCGGGAGTTCACAGCAGTGACGAATGCATCGACGTCTGAAATAATCCCCAGATCAACGGGCAAGGACCGGCCAATCTCGCTTCCGTCAGAGTCAACCTGGAGTAATTTGCATCCTTCTTTTGGAATGATGGCTCCGCTTCGACCACCGAGGAACATCCCCGTCCGCGCACCCAGAAGAATGATCAAGTCCGGACTGGGAATGTGCATTGCCGCTAGCTTAGCTAGATTTCCAGCCGTGCCTTGCGAGAGCATTGGTGATTTTGGACTGAAAGAAGCATACTTCGGGCTATTGAAGATGGGGATGTGGCACTTTTCGGCCAATTTGTTGATGATCTCGCGTGTCTATGTAGATGCGCCATTAGATAAAGTACCACACCACCTTGAGTCCAACTTACATGGGGGTGCTTCGCACCGGTTCCTGTGATGATGACAGGTCGTTTAGCCGAAGCTAGAAGCTCAACAGCTGCCTTGAGGGCGCCCTCACTAGGGCCCGGACGAAACAAGAATGGGGATGCGATTGATCCCCAAGCAATCAGTTTGGGCTGAATAGGCGAGAATAATACATCGATGGGAAAGTCCAACAAAACAGGACCTGTGCATGTCATTAGCAGCGTGAAGGCAATCATCCAAAGAACATGGTACCTGGAGCTCCAGACAACGCCATCCGAATAGCATGGGATACTATTCTAGGACATTCTTCCGGCACGACGACTCTATGCGCGAACTTCGTGACCGGCTGCGCTGCCACGACCTGATCAATCGAGCCTTGCAACGAGTTGTTCTCTGTATCTCGCAACGGGGGCGAAGAAGTGATGCAGAGGATCGGGCTCCGGTCACCGTAAGCCGTGGCTAGTCCTGCCAGACCGTTGGAAAACCTATCTATTCAGAATCGAAGCTAATGCAGCAAGGAGAGAACTGACCCGCTATTAGCCGTGACGAAACACACTCCCAGCTTGTTGCTGATACGTGAATATCCCTCGGCGGCTTGCACGGCGACGGTCTCGTGTCTGGTGTCGATGAGGCGAATGTCGACGGCTTCACATCCCATGAGGAAGGCGTCTAGATGGCCACCGTGAAGACCGAAGGCGACTTCGACGCCGGCATACTTCAAACATTGCGCGAGTAGGTCCCCGCCTGTTAGTTCACGATCTTGAGGATATTGCAGTTCGAAGCCAGCCATGATTGTTCACTTTGTGAGGAAGTAAAGAGGGGCTACTCGGGGCCGAGGATGAATTATGAATGAAGTACACGAATCATGCATTCCAGCCAAGACGCGGAGAAGGCGGGGAAGTATGTATCATGATCCTAGGACCGAGGAGGTATAGAGACGACAACATTCCATACGTGCAGCATCTGATGTCATTCACTCTTCTAGAGAACAAAATGTAGTTAAATCTTGATATCCCCCGCCGCTGCAGCAATGCTCATCTTCACCATCACACTATGCTCATTGAGAGTATTAGGAAGCAAATCACTTGCAGCCTGTAACAACCCGCAATCCGCCTTGTTAACCTCCAAGTAATTCCCATCCCAGCTGTAAATCACTTCATCATTGCATGACTGGTCCCCAAAGAGGTGCACCACACTCCGAGCCACTGCCTGCGGCGGCTGCACCGCAACACCCAGCGATTCAATAAACCCCGCCGGCACCATCCCAGTCGCCGTCCACGACGGAGCGACAGCATTCAAACGCACTTTACCCTCCATTCGCGTCCCGATCCCACGCAGCATTCCCAGAACACCATGTTTCGCGATCGTGTAATCCCCAGCACCAAACGTCTGGAACGACGACGCAGAAGCAGTGACCACAATACTCCCCAATTCACCAGGTGTGCGATGAGAAGAGTATTTCTGAATATAGTAGGACGCCAAACGCAGGGTGGAAATCACACCGAGGAGATTGACATTGATGGTTCGTAGATTGGGTGGTGTCAAGAGGCCATTCTCATCGAGTGTCTCATCTACCAGGGAGGTTGTTGGGCCGACACCTGCATTGGCGAATACATGGTCGATATGTCCGTGCCAGGCTTCGATTTGGATGAAGGCGTCGCGTTGGCTTTCCCATGAACATACGTCGATTTGGATGTATTTGAGATGGTCTGATGTCTGCAGATCGGCTGGTAATGCGTTCAGATCGCCAATTACTACGTTGGCGCCTTGTTTGAGACAGAGCTCTGCGGTCGCTCTTCCGATCCCCGAGGCGCCGCCTGGGTTGTTAGTGTTTGATAGTGACTGAGTTAAATGGCCATACCAGTGATGTACACGACTCGGTCGGTGAGATCGCCTAAGGTATCGATGTTATATGTTGACATCGTGAGTGATTCAAAATACTCGAAGTGAGAGTCAAGCGGGGTTTATGTATGCTGGCGAAGCCGAGGCCCGGTATTATCACGGTTTATTATGGACTATCGCCAGTAGTTTCATGATCTGCACTCGGAGGGGGAATTTCCTGCCGACGTGATTTCCCCACTATGTGTACGCAAGGCATAGAGTAGAAAGATTCGAGAATCCATCCTTGTGCGTCTGCTAGTCTCGGATTTGCACTATGCCGACGCCAGTTTCAGGATGTTCTGAATCTCCAGTCTAAGGCTTCCGTTGTCATCTAGCCCCTAGACGGGAGCTTTGGCCGTAATTAATCCAATTAATCCATGCAGAGGAAGTGCAGACCGTTTCAGATATCATGAAACCTTCTTCAACGCCGCCACGGCCTGTGGCCCATACTTGAAAGCAGCCCATCCAGCAACACCGACTACCGGAAGAGCGATCGCGCTCAATCGCATGATCGCAGCATTTATCTTAGGCTGGAGGAACTCCTGAACCAGTGCCTGGAACTTCTCCGGCTCATTGCGACCGGGGTAATCCTGATCGGGAATGGGTAGGTTGAGGAATGGGCAGATATTCTCCCATCCAAGGCCCTTTTCCAGCTCAATGTAGCATAGTCGGTCGGCCGGAATGATCTGCTTTGCTTTTTTGATACTGAGTATGTTAGCATGACTTTAAAGCTGGAATTCGCGCTACGCGTACTAATCCGTATACCCTTTCCGAAGGGCCATGGCATTGTCTTCCTCGCCGGGCCTGGTACATTTGGCCATGATCCGGTAAAGGGTCTCATTCAGGACCAAAAACCGGTATAGTGTCGCATCGAAATACTTCAAGATCACGAATGGAAACGTGTATGGCATATCAAGCAAAGCTCCTGCGGTCTTATTCACCGATGTGACCCATTTATCCGGGTCTCGCTCGGTGAGAATGAATTTCACATTGGGGTCGTCAGCGTAAGCCTCGAGTATATCGCTTCCGACATGGCTTGGGACTTCAACGAGGCACTGATGAATGTAAGCTTCGATGATTTGAAGTAGTCTCAACGATCACACTTACATCGTAATCTCCCAGCCATTTTTCATAATCGGCCTTGCTGTATTTCTTGATCCCAGAAAGGTCATTACATTGCGCAATCACCGCCTCTTGACAGACCTCCATATGAGGCGTGCCACAATGGACCATGCATTCGTATAGATGATACGTCTTGAACCCCAGAATCTTCATCGCATGGTAGAGGCCCATTGTCCCAGACCTAAGCGTCGTTAGTGTCATTTGCGTAGTAGCACAAAGGCGAGGCCTCATACCGGCTGGGGCTTGCGACCACCACTTTCATTGGACGAGGATTTGCCGGCGGCGGCAATCGATCGATCTTTCGCGACATGTTTGGGTCTTGGAATCTGAAGAATGAGCAATATTCCGGGGGAGTTTCGCGACCTGCGGCTCTTTTATGGCTGAGGCCGGGGGTCTGACCGGGGGCTGGGGGCTGAACGTTAGAAATAGGCCACCCGGGGCTTAGTTTCATGTCCAATTATCACTCATGTCGTGTCAGTCCACGGGAAGTTTAGATGTCAGCCCTAGCCTGAAACGGGCATTGACATGGCGGACTAACGTCCAGGGGGACAGGGCCTTGGCCCTTGGGTATGTGACTGGACATACTCCATCAAGGCCTCGGGATGACATGGAATTGGGTCTAATCACTTCCAAGGTTGACACGTCAGTAGGATCTCTGGGCTGTGCTCGTATTTTATCTCAAGATTCACTTGAGAATATCTTGGCCATCTCAATTTCAAGGTTAAATGATATCACTGACACCGCCAGAGACATCCAGAGACATCCATGGATGACAGAAGATGACCAGGACAATGCTTGGCTATCTCAACGTTGTCCACCAAGTGTTCCAAGGCTTACATGTAACATGCCCAGGTGTGCATGCCCTTGAATCATACACCGAAGGCCTGAGTCTACGCCCCCAAGGTCTGTCCAACACCAGCCGTTTCAATGCGGGGCTGTCAGCAAAAAAGACCTCCAGGGCTCCCAAGGTCGAAAGAGGCCTTTCCTTGCAACGAAATTGACATCCAAATCCAAACTGGAAGGTGACCTATGTCCTGGAGTGACAACAGAAGAAGCAAGTACTAAACCCGGTAGTGGCAAGAAGATGGTCATCTGTATATCCAGATGAAACTCAAGGCTGGGTTAGTGCTCGGTTGGAAAACCACCTACATCTAATATCCGAAGAGATATTTCGATCGGAAACCACCAACGTCAGAAAGATGCAAATCCTCCAGGGTTCGAGGTCGCTCGATGCAGCGCACATCGGCCAGCGAAGTTAAGTCACCGCTTTGTCGAACGAAGGGCGCAGACCCGCACCATTTGAGCTCGACATAAATGAGTCACAGCAATAATTGATTTTGGGAATCTGTCTAGATTCTCATCTTACCATCATCTGCACAATGGGCTTCGACGAACAAACCTCCAAAAAGCCATGGATTGAGACACCGTTAATCGAATCGGCACCCTTTTCCAAAGCCGCCGGATGGTAAGATCGAGTCTCCTTCACTAGTGAATTTGCGGGCGCTGAATGATACATGTAGTAGAATATTCTTGAAAATAGAGACCCTCCAACCCTCAGGCTCATTTAAGTCGCGGTGAGTGCGACCCCCAATGGCGGGGTATCAAATATCTGACCGATCTCAGGGGCATTGGGAACTTGATCCTCTCATCTCTTTCCGATCCAGCCAATCATGGCAAGACTTTGCATTTCTTCAGTTCCTCCGGCGGCAATGCAGGACTCGCTGCAGTTGTAGCTGCCAGGGACATGGGTTGTGCCTGCACCGTGGTTGTCCCGCAGAGCGCACAGCCGATGATGGTTCAGAAACTACGCGATGCAGGGGCTTCGGATGTCATTATCCATGGAGCCAGTTGGTTCGAGGCAGATACGTATCTGCGGGAAACATTCATCGACAACGGAGACAGCAAGTCGGATTCGGCGAATATCTATGTACCTCCATTCGATCACCCTGAGATTTGGCGGGGAGCAGGCACTCTGATTGATGAGATGGTGAGGCAGCTGCCTCCGAGCGAGAACGCATTCCCGGCCGATGCAATTGTTTGCAGTGTAGGCGGTGGTGGTCTTTTGAATGGGATCGTGGACGGGCTAGAGAGACATCTACCAGTCCAACAACCGAACTCGCTTTCAGAAGGGAAGAAAGTTCGAATCATTGCTACTGAGACAGCTGGGGCCGATTCGTTGGCGCATTCACTCCGTCAAGGCTCTTTGCAATCTCTCTCTGCCATCACATCGCAGGCAAATACTCTGGGGGCACTTCGTGTGGCGCCGAAAACATTCCAAAACGCCTACTCCCCTCCGCCTGGTATCGAGGTAACCAGTGTCGTGGCCACAGATGCTGATGCCGCAAGAGGTGTGGTGCGCCTGTCCGATGACTTGCGGCTGGAGGTCGAGCTGGCTTGTGGAATCAGTGTTCAAGTCGGGCTGGATAGGTTAAAGGAGGTCATGCCGGACCTCACACCGGACAGTCGAGTTGTCATTATTGTTTGTGGAGGAAGCGGTGTTACTCCGGAATTAATCTCGGATTATCGCCAGAAGCTGAAGAATGGATGGCAATGAGAATAGTAATCGAAGAACAACATCTGATGACCTATTTCGATCGTTCAAACGAAAACACTGAGTAAATCACATTGAAATAGCTGTAACAAGTCTTTTTCGACAACTGGGATCGAAATCTCGGGAGGTTCTGGGACTTAAACAACTTGGAAGGATTGATCCTCCAATCTGGCATTTATACAACACGTTTGAAGGCCTACACTCGTAGCATATATTTAAGGCTCCACGGAGCTTGCCGGAATCAACGATGAGCAGGTTTTCACAAATCAATTTATTCATTCGCCTACCATATACAAAAAGTCCACGGGTACCTAGGTACGTGTGCTAGGTGTGCCTGCCCAGGTTTTGAGACTCAATGACCTTGGAAAGCTCAGTACCTAGGTAGCACTTGTAGTCATATTGAGGTAGATAATTGTGAATTAGTTCAATGTAAATTCCATGTATGATCAAGCCCTGGAGGATACTAGTAATCACAAACTGCATACTAGAAAATATCCGAGCCAATGGCTTCATGACTGCGAGCAGCTGCATCTGCGAGGGACACGCTGCATATATTATTGGTTGTATTGAAAACAAGATAAAGAAGACAAAACAGATCGAGCCATTTCCAATCAAATTGATGCTCGGGGTTGACAGCGACTCGTATTGCTAAATGACCGGCTGTTCATTAGTTCAATCATCTTCGTGCGCGCCCGCTCAGCCTGATCCTGAACGTCCAAGTCCCAGAGCCAGTGAAAGCGCTCATTGAGCGTTTCTCTCAATCGTGCAGGGTCATCAGAGACCCCTTCCAGGGACAAGCAAAGAAGGTCTGCATTCTCTTTGCTGCTCGTGACAACACGCTGGCTTCGTGGGCGCCGAATATGGTCGTATGCTTGGAAAGCCAAGACAGCATCCTCGGCACTTCTCACTCGCTCATCATTCAACAACTCGACAAGGACATGGGCATCCTCAATTGCTTGCCCGGCACCGGCACCCTGATGCGGTGTCGAGGCATGGGCGGCATCGCCCATAATGGCCACGCGAGAGCGCGCATAGGTTGAGATATGAGGGTGTTCGAATATCGCCCATTGAGAGGGATCGGGCATGCGCTAGGGGTTCCCGTCAGTTTCAGATAGAGCATCCGTTGCATGCACCCACCTCCGCCAACGCTTGGACATATCGCCCCATTCCCTCGGTGTCCCGCTGCAGATCTTCCCTCTTTGCAGGCCGCACCCAAGAGTCGTGGTTCCACTCAGCACTGAGCACATAGACCCCCACATTGACCTTCTTGGCCTGCATGATCGGATAGGAAATGCCATATGCGCCCTTCCCAACATACATCGTCGCCAGTCTCGCTCGCCTATCTCCCACTGCAGCAACAGCATCCTCCATATCAAGCACAGCCCGATATCCATACATGCCACTATACCTCGGCAGCAGCACAGACTGACAGACCAACTCCTTAACTCTGGAATGAATGCCATCACACCCAATCACAACATCAGCATTGACAACATCACCATCATCAAACTGCAACCTCACCTCATCCCCCTCTTCAATCCCCACTAACCTCTTCCCAAAATGGACACACTCACTCGGCACCCGCCGAACAAGCGCATTAACAAAATCAGCCCTCTTCAACGCCGTCTGTCCACTCGGCTCCGCTTTCAAATCCATTAATACACCCCCCTCATCCAATCCGCATCCCCAAACAATCTCAAACCACGTCGTTCGAAACTCTTCATACCCAGGACTGTCGGCGTGGGTCGTCACAAGACTATCGTAGATCGCCCGCAACGCGGGGTCAAGTAGTGGGAGGGCGCGGTAAGCCGCCGGGCCGAGGGACAGACCCAGTCCGATTTCCGTGAATGCGGAGGCAGCCTCGTAGAGCTGGATGGGGATGCCTCGATTCAGTAGACCGTTGGCCAGGGCTAGGCCGCCGATGCCACCTCCGATGATGGTGACTGTGAAGGGCATTGGGACTCGTATAATGATTTGGCACTGTTCTGAGTATGGAGAGTAATGGGCTCACGAAGTTGTCGTTATGTCGTTATTAAGGGGACCTCCAGGGCTACCTAGTAGGTACGAGTCATGGGCAGGGTAAGAATGGGCCCTGGTGGAACTTGATAAGACGTGTAATATATTGGGGTTTGGACACCATATGATATGAGGGTGGGACTGCACTAGGTTCTGGGATTGGACAATCGGTGTTAGTCTGATAAGTTTGAGTGGGACGTATTTGACATTAGATTCTAATTATTACCACCGGGAATAATAGTCAAAATGAAAGGACAGCGATCCAGGTCTGGGTCTGAGACGTGTTGACCCTGCGCTAAAAGCTCTATGCACAGATGGGGAATATAGAATAGAAAAGAAGAAGAAAAAAGGAAGGAATAATGTGTATCAAATCATTGGCGCCGTGACAACCCTCTGTCTCTCCCATTTCGGACCAATGGGATCATCACGAGAATAGACTGAGCGATCCCATTCGGAGTCTGCGTCGAGCTTTTCCTCCGATCTCAGTGGTGGGGAGTTGTGGGAGTTGTCGTCGAGCGCGCGTCTGAACCGTATGAACTCGGGCGAGTCGGTTGTATGCGCTGGTTGCATATTGCCGGATTGGATGGATTCCATGGCTGCACGCTGCAGGAGACGAACATCGTCCCTTAGACTCCCGACTTGACTTTCGAGATTCCTGCGGGCCGTTTGTTCGCGGCGCAGCAGGGTGACTAGGGTGCTGTATTGTTCTATGGAGACACCCTGATAGTCGGAGAGAGAGGTGGCGGATGGGGCGGGGCGGAGGGATCTTTCAGGGCGGATGGTGGATGTGCTGGAGGGGCGGATGGAGGGGAGAGGACTTGTTTGGTTGGAGGGGGAGATGAAGCCCGGTTTGCAAGGGAGGGAGTCTGAGACGGGGTGCTTGTGACGGGGGTCGGAGTCGTTGGTTTGCATTCTCGCGATTGCGAATTCCAGATCTATCATTTTCACTTCGAGCGTGGTTAGGCGTTGTTCTAGTGTGACGCTGTCATCGTGTTGCATGGTGTGTACAAGAGTTGCTAGGTTGGAGGGGAGGGCGGGTTCTTGGTGCTCGGATTCCGTCACTGATGGGGCGGCAGAGGCACGCGTTACACTGGTTACGGTCGTGCCCGTTGACGGCCGGCGGGATTGACCACTGTTGGAGCTCTCATAGCGCGGAGACTTGGTGTCTGACACCGAAGCTGGTCGGGCACTTGATTTGCGAGGTGGCCAGGCGGTAACGACCTCTGGTTGGCGATCCGTCAGTGCTTGCAATGCTTCGGTGCTTCGGGAAAGCCTGTGGGAAAGCAGACTATGTCGTCGGTCTTGCACATGGCTCATTTCCTCCCGTGGCTCCGATATTGCAGTCGAGGCCACGGCATAGCGCGATTCGTCATCCGAAAAAATCACGCTGGGTAACGTGGCACGCCTCCGACGCGGAACACCGGGTGAGTGCATGGACGCCGGAGATAGTGGAGAAAGCGGGGACAAGTGCGTTTCAGCAAGCTGGAGGTTTTCCGCCGAAAGAGGGCTACTTCGGTTGGAAGTCAGATTCAATGGCGGCGGCACTGCCAGAAATGGTCTCCCTCTGACCGGTCCTGTGTTTCGTCTCGGCATGGAATATGCCGACTCGCATGGGGTCTCTTCCAATTCGTCTGCCTGGCTCTGTCGCTTGCGATTGAAGATCTTGCGCATTACTGTCTTTAGCGTGCTCCCCGTGCGGCGATGCGTGACAGTTGGCTGCGAGTGAAGCTCCATCGATGGAAGTGCTGTGTCGTTGTCGCCGCTGTAGGAAGCCGGGTTGGACGATGAGCGGTCCGCTCTAGCGGTGGAGCGCTGGCGTATACTTCCCGCTGACTCGCTGCCAGCGCTGGCGATTGATCGGGGGGAATTTTTAGACATGGCGCGCAGATATTCGCGGTCGACTGAATTGATCACGTTTTGGCAGATTGTCGGCGCTGATCATTAAAATGAATATCCTTCATGGAAGCATGGGTATAGATCGAGAAGCTGAAAGAAAGAACAATGGTCGGAAAGCGAGTGACAAGAAGCGAAGTCGAATATATGAAGCAAGGCCGCTCAGCGGGACGGTATTTGGATCAAGGCCAGGGGAATCTCTGCCAAACGGTCGAGTTAGCTGAAGAACCAAGTGGTACAAACGAGACTTACCTAGCATATGGACATAATGAAGGTGCGTTTGCCAGTCTCGACCCGAAAACAAAGGAATAGAAAAAATGGTGAAAGGAAGGTTGAAAGAAAGGGAAAGGCCGCACGTTTAGGGGAGATTAGGGGAGATGAGAGCTATCCCCACACACGAACAGGTTCCAAGAAAGATGAGAGAAGTGGGTTGAAGTGGAGGCACAAGGGGGGAATGAAGAGATGCGAGTAGCACGGAGTAGTCGGACGCTAAACCAGTAGGCTTAAGTACTCCGAACTAAGCCAACAATGTGTTGAGCTGTCCGGGCCCAGAGCCTAAATTTCAAGCTTCCAAAGAAATCCCTGTGCATATGAAACGCCACAGGTGGAACAAGTCGAGGCGTTGGCTTTGACTCTATGGAGCTCATTTGATCCCATTTGCGCTCCCAAGACGCACCTCGCGACGCCCAACAATTGTCAATTATCGATTGTTAGTTGTCGGTCGTCGGTCGCCAAGCGTGGCCCGTCCCATTCCTGAACTGTCAGAGACCGTGCGATCAACAGGTCTGGAACTGGTTCGGGCAATGCATCTCCGCGATCAACGTTTCAAAGGTTCTTTTCGCACCCCTGGCGTCCCGACATGCGCCACAAGTTTCGGGGTGAGACGAATCCCCAAAATCGCCAAATCGCAGATTTAATCTATTTTCGAAGTCTATCTATAGCAGATCGCCTGCATCCGGGTATCGCAAATCCGCATGTTCTTCCAGAAATTCCATCCAGTGCTGAAGGAAGCTGTTTCCCCTGTACGAAGTACAATGTTAGCATGCGATCTGACCTCGTATTGTTTAGAGTCCACACGACCATGGCACACACCCTCGTACCATGGGCGTGTGTGAGCCTAAAAGATGATGTCAGCACTTACCGACTAATCGTCTCAGAGTCTCCGCAGACACACAGATGTCGCCTCGGGCGCGTCATAGCCACTACACACGCGTTAGTCACTGTAATTTCCCACCTGCAAGTCCACCTACCGTTCAAGCGGCGCTTCTCAGCAAGGAACCCGACTTCATGCGCCGCGTTACTGCGCACCAAACTCACGACCACAGCTTCTTTCTCGCGCCCTTGGAACCCATCAACACTCCCAAGCTCAATGCCCGGATACTTCTCTCGCAGCATTCGCGAGAGAAGTGCCAATTGTCCATTGTAGGGCGTGATGACAGCAATGCTCTCCGGGCGCAGACCGGCATCAATGAGATTGTCCACGTGTCGTGCGACCACCATCGCTTCCATCTCGTTGCTCTTGCTGTCCCCAAGTAAGGTGTCTGCATCTTCTGCTTGCTCGGGGAAATCACCGCCTTGCGTATCCCAGAAAACTAATGGTTCCTGCGTATCGTCCGTGCCACGCACCTCGTAGGGTAGATCGGCGAGGAGACGGGCTTTGACGGCTTCCCCTGCGATGAGCCTCCCTTCGTAGAGTTCGTCGGACGGGAAACGCATGATGGTCTCGTGCATGCGGTACTGCGTCGTGAGCATGGTTTTGATCCCGGGCCCATGGAGGGCAAGGAGTCGGTCAAAGAGTGTGCGTTCCAGGGAGACACCCTTGAGGGTCTCTTCGGCTGGGGGTGCATCCTTGGACTTCTTAGGCTTTTGGCCGGTAGATTTCACCGTCGGTGGTAATTGCAGGTGATCGCCTGCGAGAACAACCTTGTCGGCGGAGAGCAGGGGGATCCAACACTGCGCCTCCAGGGCTTGACTGGCCTCATCGATGATCACCACGTCAAACTTTTGGTTCTTGAGCTGATGTCCACCGGCTCCGTGCAGTGTCGCGAGAACGACGCTGCACTCTGTCACAAGGTTGTTCACGCATTTTGACTCTCGCTCTCTGAACTCTTTCCTCAGAAGCTTCAGCTCATCATAGATGCCTCGGCGTTCACGCCCCGACCGTGTTTTGCGAATGCTAGCTTGTTTTTCGTCCATCTCTTTGCGAATATCCTTCACAATCCCACCAGCATCCGATGTCTGAGTGAGGACTTCAAGGGAATGGTCCAAGACAGAGGGAAGGAGACGAGCTGGATGTCCAATGCGCACAACAGGAGTCTTCGTCTTCGCAAGACGCTCGACAATATTGTCCACCGAGACATTAGACGGACCGCAAACGAGGATCCTCTTCTTGCGCTGTACCAGCTGCAGAATCAACTCGATCAAAGTATGCGTCTTGCCAGTCCCAGGCGGGCCATGGATGAGCGCAATATCCTGCGCCCCCAGCGCAAAGCGAATAGCATCTTTCTGCGAGTCGTTGAGGGAAGGATCGATGAATTCCACATCCTCAGAAGAGCGCGGCAGCGGCGTAGTATGACCAAACGCAACCCGCATAAAATGCGAATAGTCACCTTCTCCCATCTTCTCCATCTTCTCCATCGTTTGCCTCATTCTGTCTTATATTAGCATAAATCCGCGCCATAGCCTGCTCATCCAATCTCACCGTCGATACGTAACATCATTAGCAAGCTTAATAGCCCACAGCTTCTTCCCCCAAAGCTCCTCAACAGCCTCATCATCCTCCTTCTTCGCTCCAGATCCCTGCTTCCCAAACGCAATCCATACCGCCCGATCCCCAGTCCGCGTAACAACACCCTCAGCACCCTTATCCTCGCTCTTGTCTTTCGTATCCTTCTTTTTCCCCGTATCATTCACCCTAACCACATCACCGACCCGAATCCCATGTGATCCCAATCTAGGCGTCCCATCTGCTGCGCGCGTCTCGTCCGACGCAATAGCTGGATCGGGCGCAAACTCCCCGACAACTCGTCCGCCTAGACCAGTTCGCACTTGCGAGAGGACGAGACCGGTCAGGGCGTGGCCGGTGGATTGGAGGGTGCGGCGGGTTGCGGGGGAGACGGAGGCGGCGGTGCTGGCTAGTTTGGAGGTGGAGACTTCGGCTTCGTGCTCGAGGAGGAGGAGGTCGAGCTGCGCTTTGGCGAAGAGGGGGATTGAGGTCGCCATTTTGGTGTTGGGTTGTGCTTGGAGGGGTCGGGGATAATGAAGCTGCTCGCTTATATCCGATGAGATCATCGGTCCACTTTTGTTTACTTGGGGTTGCAGGTGTACACTGCTTTCATGCAAAGGTAATGAGACTTGACGGTCTGAAGTTCTTGATCTTCCAAGTGGACTGTGACGTGAGGCACAATTGAAGTACTTCCAATACAGCACAACGTGGTTGGTCCTCACTTCGACGGCCTTTCACAACTAGACTTGGGATACTCCAAGTATATAAACCGTTGAAGTGGAAATTCAGCTCTCACCAAATGCTGATACATCTGACTACCAAGGTGTTCAAGAGTGTATAGGAAATATTCCACCAGCAAATTCTTACATGATTGACTACACTCTCAGATATACAAGTACAAGTACAATACACAGCAGCCACGCGCAGCACCTCAAACAGCCTCGATCTTGATCTTCGGTTCATCCACCGGACTCCCCTTGACAGGGAAACTAGGCGCCATCCCCTTAACCTCACTCTTACACAATCCCGAGCCAGCAAGGTAACAGTCCCCACAGCGTCTCTTAACAGGAAGACAAACCGTCTGACCCAGCCCAACAAGCAACTTATTAATCTCATGCCACTTCTCATGAGGCAACCAAGACTGCAGCGCCAGCCTCGTCTCCTCGGGTGTCTTGGTCTTGTTCCACCCCCATAGATTCGTGATGCGATGAACATGAACATCAACACCTATGCCGAGGTGTTTACCCCAAGCCGCACTCAAGCACAGATATGCCATCTTGGGCCCGACACCAGGTAAAGCCATGAGACCTTCCGGCGTCGAGGGGATATCACCATTATATTGGTCGCGAAGAATCAAAGCCGTAGCCTTGATGTACTTTGTTTTGTTATTGTGGAATCCGACAGTGCGGATCAATTCGTTCAGGCGCGTCGGTTCAACAGCAAGTACATTACGCAGATTAAGCGTACTGTCCTTCTTGACGTCTTCTTCGACTTTGATGCCTTCCTCAGCCTTGATGTCAATTTCCGGCCCAAGCTCTGTATGCAGTCTTTGCATGGCGACTGCCGTGACGGTATCTTTTGTCTGAGATGATAACATCAATGCGATGAGCGTTTGGAATCGTCGGTCCTCTGCCCTTGACTCCCGCCAGTATAACTCTGCGCATCCCATTGTGTCAACCGGTGCGGTCGGGTTGTCTTCTCGCATCCTCTTCACGGTATTGTACATAGTCTCCCAATTGGAGGGCGGCTCGACTTTGACGGCGCCATCGGCGTCACGAGTCTTGCGCGCTGGTAGACGGCGCGGCTTGGGAGTCTGTTTGGGCTTTTCATCGGGTTCGACCTTAATCGTACGGAGGACTGGGCTGGCGCGCTTGCGACGCTTAGGAGGCGGTTCGACAAGGTCTTCGATGTCAGCGGTATTTGCTTCGGAGAGGGAAGATTCGTCGTCGCTGCGAACGGCAGAGAGACTTCGTGTCACGTCTGGGTCTGGGCCTGGGTCGGGGACGGCATTGTAGGCGAAGTTCTTGAGGGAACTGACATGACGCGACCGAGTCGCTCGAGGCGAAATGGCCTGGATTAGCTTTGCGGTGTCTTGGGAAGTGCGTGAGGTGCGCATGGTGTAAAGAAAGAAAACGAGATTCACATGTGGAGGCAATATTCCCCAGCCTCGGCGATCGCAGGCCCCGTCTCTCCGCGACTTTCGACTCTACACATCCCATTGCATATACGCCATGGCTGCATCAAATACGACACAGCGATTAATTCGCGAGCTGAAGGAATATCATAAGACGCCGAATGAGTCGCTGCTCCATCTTGGCCCTGTCGATGAGGAGGACCTATTACATTGGGAGGCGGTGTTGAAAGGCGTAGATGGGACACCGTACGAAGGTAAGTCATCAGCCAGGCTGTGGACGATCAAGCATCAGTCCCGAGGTCTCTTGTTCGTCGTGTTCATACAGACTAATGATACCAGGCGGCCTCTGGCACCTTCGCATCGCAATCCCTCCGAACTACCCCCTCGCACCACCGACCATCCACTTCACGACGAAGATCTCGCATCCGAACATCTCCTTCACCAATGGCGAAATCTGCCTCACTCTCCTGACGACCGAGCACTGGAGTCCTGTCTATACCCTTTCGTCGACGCTGACTGCCATCCAGCAGCTGCTGACGGACCCGCAGCCTGACTCGCCGCTGAATGTTGATGTTGCGGCTCTCCTGCGCGACGGAGACCTTGCAGCTTGGGAGAGCGTGGTTCGATACTGGACTGCAGAAGAACGGTGGAAGGGGCCATAATTACGAGACAATGCGTTTCCAATTTCTGTTTCTGGTTGATTTACATGCCATACCCCTCTGCACATTCCGATCTACGCCTTACATATTTAAATCTATACCTACATCTACATCTAAATCTACAGGAGTCGGTTCGACTGGTAATTGAGCACGTCTTATTATGATCCAATGACGAGCATATGGACTAGAATATCCAGATGATATGTTAGCGTGTGCTAGCGCTGTAAATGCGACCGCTAAAGATGATGAAGGCGGGGCCGTTCATAAAACGCCGGGTAATAGTAAGGAGAGACATGAGTCGGTCGTAACGGGTCGTGCGAAATGATAGTACAATGACAAAAAGTCATGAGAAGCAGAGCCGAAGCGATGTGCTGAACGCCGGAAATAAAGATGCAGAAAGGGCAAATTTTGTAATCAAAGAGCCATGGCAACCACCATAGCGCCTCCGACTAGGGCGGCAACCTCGCGAGCCACACCGGCGGTGGGCATAGCAGCGTTGCCGGTTTGCAGACCAGGACGGGCAGCGTTGGTTTCGGAGCCACCGGTGGCAGCGGCGGGGGTGATGACGGTCACGGAAGTGAGGGTCGTGAAGCTGCCGTCGTCACGGGTGCTGGTGCTCCGGAAAGTGGAAGTGGTCAGGCTGGTCTGCGAAGTGTGCTCGCTGGACTCGGAGGTTGATTCGCGGCTGGAAGAAGACGAAGAGCTGGTGGCGGTCGACAGAGTCGTGGGCGCAGAGGTGGTGTGTTGAGTGGTCTGAGTGGTAGGCACTGAAGTAGTGGTGTGCTCAGAAGAAGTGGGCTCAGCAGTGGTGCGTGAGCTGGTCGTGCTGGAAGTGGTGGGGACCGCAGTCGTCTTCTCCGTGGTAGGCTGAGCGGTGGTCTGCGGGACGGAGGTGGTTTCAGCCGTGGATTGCTCAGTGGTCTTCTCAGTAGTAGGCGCCGCAGTGGTAGTCTGCTCTGCCGAAGTGGTGGGCGCGGTGGTCTGCTCTGTGGTAGGCGCCGCAGTGGTCTCCGCGGTGGTCTCCGAAGTAGGCTCCGCAGTAGTTTCAGCGGTGGTCAGCGGCACCGAGCTGGCTTCCGGGCTGGCAGTGGCATTGTCCCGCTTGGCGAGTCTCATCAAACTGGCAATGGTTGGTTCTTCATCTTGCAGGGCCTCGGCGGCGTGAAGGTCAGTCGGGAAGATTCCATGGCGGAATTTGGCAGACAGCACATGCAGTGCATCGTGGAACGAGGCAGCCTTGAGATCGTCAAGTGCGTCCTGGAGAGACTCACTCTGAGAGAGATCGGGCTTTCCCTCTGCGACTACCGCAGAGAGGACCAGCAAGGTCACAAAAAGCAATTGGAGGAAGTTGATACGGAACATGGTGGAGTCACTGATAAGGGTTTGTTTCAGTGAAGTTGGTTTCAGAGAGGTGAGGTGAGGAGGACAAAGAGAGGTCCACGGGGTTTTAAGGCATCGAAGAATATCCCAGATAGGAAGCAAGCAGTGGCGACTTCATAGGTTCTTGATTTTCGGCGCTAGTCGCAATAGTGGAGGCTCGACTCGGCTTTTCTGACGCTATCTTTCTTGCTTTTTCCTTCTTTTCTCGGACCGGCAACTAAGAACCGGCTTCCATCTAGATTGTTCCTGCACATGTGCCCTTGCTGAATTTCTGCTGAATTGCCTGTCCTACTATGAGTTCTAGCATACTGCTCATGAAAAGCAGGTCTATGCTACTACTGCATGCGACGCCGGTTGCAGCCCTGACATCGTATCCCCCGAGGCGCAACCGAAAACGACGAATCCACCCTCATTGGCCCGGTCTCAGCGCTAACAATAGCACAACAATAATAGAGTCGTGTTGTCATGCACTATTTCTTTTTCGTTTTATTCGTCTGTGAAAAAAAGGGGGGTGCCTGGTGAACCATGAATATTCACAATTGACTCAAATCGACCAAGGTTGTCTATGGAGAACTTCATCTATATGTACAACTGCAAATACGGGTGTCTCACGAGTACGAGTAGCAATACCCGTGTTTGGCAGGATGCATGGTCCGACCGACCGACCGAGACCGACCAAGGACCCCGAACTCCATCTCCGTCTGGAGCGTCACTTGCTTCGCGGTCGGCGGATTAAGAATAGTGTCCGTGCCATTGAGCGCATGTCGTCGCTTCTTTTCATCATCACTCTGCCACATCGCCCATAGCCGATCGATCATCCCATGGTGCAGCATGAAAGCCGGGTCCTGCGGAGACGCGAACAGATCCTGCAAAGTCGCCCCGAGGCTGAAGTGGCCGCCGCCATGAACGCCCAGCACGCCATCCGGCCGCGCAGGCCAGTGTTCCATGACGGTCTGGAAATCGATAATGTTGCGCGATGCCAGCAGTCGATCCACGATGGTCTCGTTAGTGTAGTGGCTGCTGACGAAGTTGTTCAGGCTGCGGTTGAAGCAGCGCGGGTTGTAGTCGAAGCCCGGGGCGGGGATCTTCATCCCTGGCGTGATGGCCGGGTTCCGTGAGAAGGGTCCCATGTGGATCTGCATGTCTTTGAACGGGCCGCAACGCACACAGCCGCCGCCGCTGCCTCGGGGGATGGTGATCGGTCCGCCGGCGATGGCTTGTTCGCCGGGGGCGTAGTCGCCGTCGCCGGAGAGGGAGCTCTCGCTGCAGTCGAAGAGGGGGCTGGCGCCGAGGTCGCCTTCCCACTTGGGCCAGTCCCAGTATCTGGTGAGTGTTAGGAGATGCTCGTAGGTGGGCAGGGATGGACGCACGGGAGATTTCCGGCATAATCGCACTCCTCGCGCAATGCGGTCTCCCAGAGGAAGAGGAAGTGGCGGTGCCACGGGAGGAATAAAGCACTGTAGTGGACGTTCAGGGTGTAGTTGATGTGGGTGCTGTCCTCGTCTTAGTTTCCATGCATGTGCATTGTTAGGTGAACCTACGCGACAAAATCGTCGAAGCGGTTGCGGACTCCGGGGTATTCTTCCCGCGGGAGATGTTGAGGCTTCTTCTGTAGACACAACACGGCGTCGGTATAGTCAATCCGCTCAGACTTCGTCAATTCTCCCCTATAAAAAGTCAGGCCAAGAGACTTTCACCATACTTGGGGACTCCAAACCATTCTTTGCGCTCCGCGACATGAGTGCACTTTTCACCCCCCAGAGACAAGCCCAGGTCCAAGTCCAAGTCCACATTCAGGTCGATCAAGGACGAACTGGCCAGGGATAGCAACCCCAACCCGGCCAGTACAGACTTGTAAACCATCATTCTGTCAGACCACAACGACACAGTTCCAGAAATCGCCCAAGATCTCAGATCATGGCTGCCGCAAGGGTTTATAAACGGAATTCCAAAGTGGGCTGCCCGGAGTCGACCCGATAACACCCCTTGAACGATCTGTGCCCAGATGGAGAAGGCTCAGATCCAATTGAATTAGAATCGAGTCTTCCGTCGATCGGTGAGCTATCACCCGCCATGGTGCATTGTGGCGTGAACTATGCCCGTCCGGCGGGCCAGGGAAACAGGGGTCGACAGCATTTAAGATGAACATTGGCGACCTGGACCAACCGCAACATCTCGACTTCAAACGGTGTGATCCGCTATTTTATCCTGGACTGCAGTTGACTTAAACCCACATGCGCCTTTGGACAGGGGGACTGCCTTGGATTTGTTTGCTCTAGAATGAATTGGCCTCTGGTAAAACAGTACGAGTATGGCTCAATCATTGCCTGCGGGATACGAAGCACAATATGAGCAACCCGTATCGCATGAGCACAGTCCGTCGAGATCAATTATTGAACAGCGCATCGGTCACACTACCCCGTACTGCGTACACTTCGCAAGTTCCAGGTGCCCGGTCAACACAGCCGATTCGGCGCAAGCACTGCTCTGTGCCCGGCTGACTTGGGTGGCTATCTTGGGAAAATATGACTCGCATAGGGAGTACTACTCCGTACGTACTTTGGTCGAGTAGTTGGCGAGAATCACAGCCCCCACATGCCTACTTCGTACAGAGTCGTCCAGAGCTCGCGGAAACCCCGAAATGAAACATGCATGGCTTTGTCGACCGGGGTCTGCAGTGCATGCTTCTGGCCACTTACTTCCGCATTGCAGAGATCGCGATTCAAAATCCTCCGACGTACGCAGGACCCTGGGAACTTTGTGTTCGGCTTGGCAACTTTGTCTCACCCAAGTCTGCCTGTTCAAATGTTGGTCTGGAAGTGGCCGGCCTGACACCTACGTTGCTTCAGACATCCGTCTACAATACAGTACATATCGACCTTGGAAGGTCTTTCATGGTTTCATCACCAAAGTACCGACTGTTTATCTCGCATTTTGACTCCCCTGAAGACCGGCCAAGCCAAATCCTTACGTAATTCCAATGCTGGCCAGCTGGGAATTCGTGACGGAAAATGTTCCTTGTACTTTGTTCCGTACCCTGGCGAAGCTAAGCGCCTATTCTCCAGGGCTCGTTTGCACAAGTCCCAATGGTAATCCCCGACCGGAAGGTTTCCGATCATTTAGTATCGTCAAGGAATGGAAAGACAATGCTGTTCAGGAAGCCAGGAGACAAGCGATATAGAATTCAGCAAAAAGTTCACCCGGCGCCATAATGGGGGCCGAGTGGTAGAATGGCTGCCCCAAGCCTTACACCCGCAGTGTCTGTTCAAGGCTTATTTCAGAAAGTCGCTATTGTTACACTCTGTCCCGTCGAGAAAGTCGACTTATTGGTAAAAGCATCAAGGGCGTTTCAAGATTTCAATTGCATTCTCAATCTGCCATACATCCTCATTGATGAGGTTGAAGATGTCCAAGACAGCTCTCTCTCCCGAAGTCACTCCCCCAACTTAGTTAACCAACCTTGGAATACAACAACCTCTTCTATTTCCCTCCTCTTCGCCAGCAAGTAGCTAGCTCAACAAATTATGAGACCGGCGATAATGTTAGGGCGCAAATCCTCAGAGTCGCATTATCAACACATGCATTATGGTCCTGAGACAAGGCAAGGCATTGTTCCCAACTGAGTGGCGACCCTGGCGTAAACCTTGAAGCGCAAATGGATCCTCCATTCATAATCTATGCTTGTTTGTAATGGTCGTCGACTTGGTCGATATAGTCTCTCGTTGAGCCATAATCGACCCGTTGTATATCCATGTGTTCTATGCCGCGAAGTGGGCCACGATACCTTCACCAGAGATGTCTTACACAGGTCATCCATAAAGACGTCGGCGAAGTCCGATTCCACGGAATGGTGACCCATGTCTGGACAAGTCGTGACGGTTAGAACCAGTCAGAATCCCAGTCTTCGTTAAACACCGGTCCAGGGCAGTCAATCTTGACCAGTCTGTGGAGGTTGTTGACCTGAAAAGCCTTCATGATAGTATGGTGCCCTGCTTCGAATTTTGTATCTCCATTCTGCAGAAGCGGTTTGATGGGATGCAGTTTAAAGGAAGACTTCGCTAGAAGATCGACATCTTGACTGGTATTGGCCGTCGTCAACTTCGAGAAGGGAAGTGCAGTTGACCGGTTCGTGGGAGGGTCTGAATCGGTCATTTTCCGGCAAGTTGAGCTGTTGGTGAATCTTTGGGTTGTTGGGGCAGCTCCGGGGTCAGTCGACGCATTCGATGGCCCTCGAAAGAGGAAGCAGGATAAGGATCTCATCATCTGTTGAGCTAGCTACTCACAAAACACCAGCGAACAGGAGAAATAGAAGAGGTTGTTGCATTGACTAACTGAGGGGAGGGGGGGGGGGGGGGGGGGGAGAGCTATCCATTTATACTACAGAAGCTTTGTGGTGGCCGTTCTTGGGATGGGCACGCAAACTTCACAGCATATCCTCTAGCATGAATTTTCATGAAAGGTCTTGTTGATTTCAAGGTCTACGGTCTAGCGGTTTCCGGAGTGCTCGCGAGCTTGAACTCGACATCTTTAAGGGCTTTCTCACAAGGCAGGCGAGGATGGCTATTATGCAGGACTTGCAGGGATGTTCTATGAAAGCATTTGGCAGTTGGTTCTGACTGTTTCCGTTATTACATACAATAGGAGACCGCATCCTCCAAACAACTTTACGCGTCAAGGATTCAGTATGCTCTTCTAGGGCCCGGGGATTGATTAAATGGGAGATTATCGCAATTTCTCTCCCGCTTTCTTCCCTCTCTTATCCTCTGTCTTGGTTTTGTGGCTGATCGAGGCTCGAAAGTCACATTCCAAGGTTGGAAGCTTGAAACCTCTCAACATGACACTCAACGGCCAACTTTTGACAAGGTCAAGGTCTAATGAGGCACCGGCATTTTCAAATCCTCGCCATAAGCTTTTTCACATGGATTGAACCTCTAGCCGAGCCGCGATCATTGGCGCCCGCCGCGGGGATCTAAGTCCGGGGAACATACCGAGGCACTCACGAGAGCCCGGGGAATCGCAGAGACAAGCCCAAGCCAACATCGAAGCAATCGTTCCGTCAATATACACATCACCATGGAGGCTCTCTTCAATATTGTGGTCCTCCAAGTTACTGTCTTCTGGGATGGCATTGTCTCCAAGAACTCGCCCCAGAAGATCGAATTTGTGGGAACTCTCCTCGTTCAAATCTTCTTTTTCTGGATCCCCGCAGTCTGCTATTTACTATTGGATGCAATAGCACCGTCATTTTCCCATCGGCACAAGATCCAACCAGCTCCTAAACAGCCAACACGCCGGGAAATAACTCGCTGCTTTGCCGTTGTTGCGCAGAACCAGATCCTCTCATCTGTGCTACACCTCGCTCTTCTTTACTTAGCAAGTCGTGCGGGCTCGGAATCTTCATATCGCATAGAGAAATCACTGCCATATTTCACCGAGATCACTCGTGACGTGGTTCTGAGCCTGTTGATGCGTGAAGTTCTGTTCTACTATAGCCACCGGCTTCTGCATGTCCCCTTCCTTTACGTGCGCATCCATAAGAAACATCATCGCTTCACTGCCCCCATCGGACTGGCCGCTCAGTTCGCGCATCCGATTGAACAGATATTCGCCAACGCGTTGCCCATCTCTCTACCCCCACAGCTGCTCCACAGCCATGTCTTGACTTTCTGGCTTTTCCTATCCTATGAGCTATTCAATACCGTCACCGTGCATAGCGGATATGATTTTTTTCACAACAAGGCCAAGATGCACGATCTGCATCATGAGAAGTTCAACCTGAACTACGGGTCGGTTGGGTTGTTGGATTGGGTACACGGCACAAATAGGTTGGAGAAGAAGCGCTCTGACTGAGCTGAACCAGAGGCCCGGGGATCTACAAAGTCCTTGTTGACGTGTTCTTGCCTTCCCGCTTCCCTGCACCCGGGCAAACCACAGATGGGAAAGCAGTGCATAATTTAAGACGCCAACAATTAATGAACTGTGATGGATGCAAGTCGAACGAGAGCTCTCGCCACGCGAGGAGGTGATCGACCTTTTATCAGCTCCTCCACGCCGCACTATTGCATGAGAAACGCGTGGAAAATAGTTCGCACTTATTGCTGGAAAAAGCTAAATCCCACAAAAAGAAAGCAAAAAGGCCTATTAGGGCAATGGTCTTGTTACCTATACAAAACAAACTGGATGAATGGAAGTCCTCATGCGTGGTGTATCACATTTTCCCATCGACTATTCAAATACAAATAATAGTACCGAAACGACCGGGAATGAATCCCGCAGGGTACGAGTCATTAGCGCCTTCAACCGCTCCAGATAAGCCCCACACTCCTCATGATGAGCTCTCATCGAGATCTCCTCGCATGGCTTAAGGTCAAATCCGATGACCTTCTGCTCCAATGACAAGTGATGATCGGTATTCTGGAACGATCTGCGACAACCGTATGAGCCTTGCCTACATGAAATTACTCACTAGTCGGTCTTTTGGCGGGAAATAACAGGCTTTGCGACACTACCTGTCAAGACAAAACGTTTGCCAAGATCAACCATACTGTACGGAGCGTAGTGCCGGGCTGCCAAAATGCCGGCATATATCCGGTTCTGCCCAGGTGGTTTACACGTGTTTTTCGTCGAAATGACAGTTCCCATGCAGATTTACTTCTTGTGAAACCCCTCTTACCTGGGGCCCGATGGCACAGGGTAATCAAAGCGTGCCGTTTTATTGACATAGCTCGGCTGGATCGCTGCAAAATGACCAGCATGTTATTTTCTGTTCATATTGTGACCTTAATATCACGGCACTCGAGGATTTTGGGTACTTGAGCCTGGAGTCTAGGATATTCGATTGTTTACTTGCTGCATAATACGGCGCACGGATTACACATTGCACGGTTCGTACCTCAGCCTCTGATCCCCTACTCCGTCCGGGAAGAACACGGTGATATCTGTCAGCTTCGATAGCTGCGAGAACCATATTCTGGGGCATTTTACCTCTTGGGCATCTCTAATTACATCAGTAGGAACAATCATGGACCTCTTTGATCTTGCAACCTACGAAATCCCAGCCACACTCTACAGAGTCCAATATGCCGAGTCCGTAACAAAATACGACTACGACGGTGGCCTCGAAGCCCAAGACCATAGCACCATCTACGACGAAGGAGAAGGCCTTGATAATTTCATCAACGCAGTGGAGCGGCATCTAAGCTGGGATTCCGAAAACACCATCTTCATCTCACTCTTCTCCGACAAAACCTGTGCCGAAGACTGGATGCTCGAAAGGCATCTACGATTCCGTAGCACAGACTGCGCCCTCCTTGAAATTGACATGACGGAACTTCTGGGTTTTTATGTCTTCCATGCCCAGGAGATAGTTGATATGTTCTCGTTGTCGATCCCGGAAGAAGCATATTCTACTATCGCTGATGAGTACCTCGTCGTTCATTATATACCGCCTAGCTCTATCATGAGCAGTCAGAATGTTTACGATATCGAATATGGTGAGAGCTCCTGGGCTTCGCTTGGCCTACCATAGCAGCTTTGAGCTTTCGCGACTAGTGGATCGTGCTAATGGTGAAATAGCCCGTCAGGCCCCTCCTGCTCCGTCGATACGGCCGAATGATATAGACTCGGCGGAGCTTATCTCAAGATTGAAAGCCCTGGGCTTATGAGCCTCAAGTTTAATGCACAACAACCCGAACACATCGTCGCTGGAATGGAACATGGAAACTAAGACCATCACCACAACCTTGGACCGCGAGCTATGTTCGAGATATATGAGATCATTTAATTTTTGCAACCAGCTAAAATTCAGGAAAATTCTCCTTCCTCTCCAGGTCTTCTGTTTGCTATTCTAAGACAGATTTCCCCCATCATATTCAGAGCCAGCTCAAGCACCAAATGGCATTGACCCCAACGCAATTAGCCTGGAGTATGCACATCATTCCTCCATGCGATAGCAATGTCATTTAGCCATTCCCCCACCTGGACAAGACTCGTTTTATGCTTATCTTGCATGACATGCACCCAGTCAATGCCTGCAATTCTTATCACCCCCAACCTACCCCAAACCGCTAGTCTATCAGTTGGGGTAAATCACCATTCAGCGATGGTATCGAGACATCTATCAACGACCTCGGAGACATCGCCGAAAAGTAACTGCTACAGCCCATCTCGATAAGACAACTAATCTTAGAAGCATATAACCATGCCATCCCTACCCCAGCGCGAATCCAACCCTCACCCTCAAAATGACCACCCTCCAAGTCCTCCCCCCCTCCGCCGGCTACGGCATAGTAATCGGCATAGGCACACTCTTCGCCCTCTTCATGCTTAGCCTAACATGGCTCCAAAACCGCTACACCACATTCTCAACACACCGCGCCGAAGAATTCAACACAGCCTCCCGCTCCGTAAAACCAGGCCTCATCAGCGCCGGCATAGTCTCATCCTGGACCTGGTCGGCTACACTCCTCACAAGCTCGACTTTCGCCTACGAGTACGGCGTCTGCGGACCCATGTGGTATGCTGCGACGGGGACTCTGCAAATCCTTCTCTTTGGCTTGATCGCAATCAAAATTAAGACGAAGGCGCCGGGGGCGCATACGATGCCTGAGATTGTTCTCGCGAGACATGGGAAGTGGGCTCATCTTACGTATTTGTACTATGGGCTTGCGACGAATATGCTAGTCGGCGCTTGCTTGGTGCTTGGTGGTGCGCAGGTTGTGGGTGCGTTGACGGGGATGAATGTGTATGCGGCTAGTTTTTTGATTCCGGCTGTTGTGGCTGTTTATGTTATTGCTGGTGGGTTGCGGGCGACGTTTATTGCGGATTATACGCATACTGTTATTCTTTTTGTTGCGATTTTGGTCTTTGGGTTTCTGGTTATGGCCACGAGTGATTCGGTCGGGAGTCCTGGAAAGCTTTATGAGATGTTGATTGAGGCTTCGGAGAAGATGCCCATTGATCGGAATAGTGAGGGTTCGTATCTCACGTTCCGGTCCGTAGGGGGTCTCATCTTCGCGTGTGATTTGTTTGTTGCGGGTTTCACTACTGTGTGGTTGGATCAGGCGTATTGGCAACGGGCTATTGCTTCCAAGCCGGAGAGTTCGGTGAAGGCCTATATTCTTGGTGGCATTGCTTGGTATGGTGAGTGCTTTTGTGGGGAAGGCATTCTGGATTCAATTGACAAGTTTTTCTAGGAATCCCATTCGGCTTCGCGACTATCATGGGATTGGGCTGCGCTGCGCTGACCGGACACCCGCGGTTCCCAACATACCCCAATGCACTCACAAACGAGCAAGTGGGAGCCGGGCTATCTGCGCCAGCTACAGCAATTGCCCTTCTGGGCAAGGGCGGCGCAGTGCTCATTCTGATCCTGCTTTTCATGGCGGTTACGAGCTCTACCTCGGCTGAGCTGATTGCTGTCTCTTCGCTGCTCACCTTCGATGTGTACAAAACCTACTACCGCCCGGGTACAGACTCTCAGACTCTGGTTAAAGTCAGCCATTGGGGCATCGCGCTCTACGCCATCGTATTGGCCGTTTTCTGCTGTATCCTCAATCGAGTCGGAATCAGCTTGACGTGGGTTTTGACCGTGTTAGGCGTGATTGTGGGCGGGGCCGCCCTCCCCGTCGGCATGATCTTACTCTGGGAGCCGATGTCGACGGTCGCGGCGATTTGCGCACCCTGGATTGGATTCCTGTGCGGTGTGACGGTGTGGTTCGTCACGGCGTACAAGCGATCGGGAAGCATTGATGTGGCTAGCACGGGGGACACGACCAACGCCCTGGCCGGGAACTTGGCATCGTTTGGTGTCGGGTTCGTGATGGCCGCTGTGTTGAGTTATGCATTCCCTGGGAAAATCCAGCCCACTGCGACTGCGGTGGTTGCAGACTCGCCACCGGACTTGATGCATCAGGTTGTTAAGGCTGGTGAAAAGGTCACGGTACCCCTGGCTGGTGAGAGTGCGCCAAGGAATGAATTGATTGATTATCTCGAGTCCACTGAGGTCGAGCCGATGGACCCGGTCCTCGCCAAGAAGGGGGAGCGCATCGCCTGGGTTGCGAATGGGATGTTCTTCTTTGGGGCGGTAGTCCTGGTTCCGTTCACCTTGTTTGGCAGTGGGTATATTTATAGTCGGGCCTTCTTCACTGGATGGGTGGTAGTGGCCTTTATCTGGATTTGGGTCAGTGTCTTGATTTGTGTGGTGTGGCCAGTGATGGAGAGTCTGGGGGCGTTGCGGGGCATTACTGCCGGGTTGTGGGCAGATTTGCGGTTTGCAGGAAGTGAGACAGTCTGAATATGAGGTGCGAATGCTGATCGTGATCAGAGTTCTGCTCACTACTCCGTAGTCAATGCTCATACATAACCTTGGAAAGATATAACTGCAGGAGATCATATGTATCGAGTGAAGACAGTGAAACTACTGTAGCAGGACCCAACCTAAGTATAGAATTGTGCATTTCAAGTTCCAAGGTAAGGACATGTGGATTGTGTGGTTGACCGTTCCAAACCACGTCTCAGTGTCGGAAAGTGGAACAGTTGACACTTGGCAGCCAATCAGAACAGCCAATTCCAGTTCTAGAATTTGGGTGGCTGCTCCCCTGTGAAACTAGCCAAACCCCCTTTCAGGCGGCAACGAAAGACCCTCACACTCAGACCCTAGACCCTGTGTGCTCTCTCTAAGGAGATCGCCGGTGCTGGCGCGTCATTGCGGACTCCACAATGTTCCGAGATCGTGCTATTATCCTTCATAAGAAATAGTAGAGTAAAGTACTACAGTACTAGTATACTGTACGGAGGACTACTAATATTTTACTATTTACCATAATCCTAGACTACGGAGTAGTATAGTACAATTGACAATTTCGAACACTGTAGCTGGAACAAATAGGGGAGCGATTCAGGGTCATCCCCATATTAAGCCCACTAAAACCCTGACAATACCCACTCATAACAGACCACATCCACTCACATCGCCTACGCTGACCCTTGCTGGCGATCGACGAGTCGGGACAAACAGCCAATGCACTTGGCGTAGCACAGCCCGCCTGCCTCCCCCCAATCGCAGCTATGCCTTTGCCGTCCCCAATTGGGTCACATCTTGGCTGCGCCGTATAACCCTTCATCCCTTCCATTCTGTTTCTCCTTCTTCATTCTTCTTGACCTCACTTTCGTTTCCCCGTCACTCTTTTAATACCCAGCGCAACCTCTCACTATCGTTCAAGTCCAACAGTTCTCCGCCTTTCGTTTCTTTTTTTCCGAATCTCACACATCATGAAGGGTACCGTCGCCTCCATGGCTACGGCCGTCTCACTCGGCGCTTCCACCGTCCTCGGTGCCGCCACCAACCTCCAGGCCCGCGCCGACAGCAAGGTCACCCCCATTACCGTCAAGGGTAACGCCTTCTTCAAGGGCGATGACCGCTTCTACATCCGTGGTGTCGACTACCAGCCCGGTGGTTCCTCTGACCTTGCCGACCCCATTGCCGACGCCAAGGGTTGCAAGCGCGACATTGAGAACTTCAAGGAGCTCGGCCTGAACACCATCCGTGTCTACTCCGTCGACAACTCCGCCGACCACGACGAGTGCATGAACGCCCTCGCCGACGCCGGTATCTACCTCGTGCTCGATGTCAACACCCCCGACTACTCCCTCAACCGTAAGGATCCCGAGATCTCTTACAACGATGTCTACCTGCAGTACATCTTCTCCACCATGGAGAAGTTCGCCAAGTACGACAACACCCTCGCCTTCTTCTCCGGAAACGAGGTCATCAACGACGGCCCCTCCTCCAAGGCCGCCCCCTACGTCAAGGCCGTCACCCGTGACATGCGCTCTTTCCTGCGCGGCAACAAGCTCCGTGAGGTCCCCGTCGGTTACTCCGCCGCCGATGTCGACACCAACCGTCTCGAGATGGCCGAGTACATGAACTGCGGTACCGACGACGAGCGCTCCGACTTCTTCGCCTTCAACGACTACTCCTGGTGCGACCCCTCCTCCTTCGAGAAGTCCGGCTGGGACCAGAAGGTCAAGAACTTCACCGGCTACGGTCTCCCCCTCTTCCTCTCCGAGTACGGCTGCAACACCAACACCCGTAAGTGGGAGGAAGTCGAGGCTCTCTACTCCACCAAGATGACCGGTGTCTACTCCGGTGGTCTGGTCTACGAGTACTCCGAGGGTGGCAACGACTACGGTCTCGTCAAGATCAGCGGCTCCGACGTCAAGACCAACAAGGACTACGATGCTCTCAAGACTGCCTTCAAGAAGACCGACAACCCCTCCGGTGACGGCAACTACAACTCCACCGGTGGTGCCTCCGGCTGCCCCGTCCAGTCCAAGCCCAACTGGGATGTCTCGACCGATGCTCTCCCCGCCATCCCCGCCCCTGCCAAGAAGTACCTGACCAAGGGTGCCGGTAAGGCCGTCGGTTTCAGCGGTGACGGCTCCCAGAACTCCGGTACCCGCTCCACCTCCACTGCTACCCAGGGCTCCGGTGACGTCGCCGCCGCCACTGGCACCAGCTCCGGTGATGCTGCTTCCAGCACCTCCTCCGAGGGTGCCGCTGCTGGCTTCAAGCCCACACAGTTCACCTTCGGCCCTGCTGCCGTCAGCCTGGTCTCCATCGCTTCCGCGGTGCTCGGCGCTAGCCTCATTCTGTAAAGCCCTCACTTGATGGGTGATTTATTTTAAATTCTTTTGGTGGACATGTACCTTTATTGAATGTTTTTTGTTCGCAGCAATGCGATACTTTTGACAATTTTGCGGAGGCTAATACTTGACTGTACAAGCCTTGATCTTTAACCTGTTCGAACGAACATATGAACTGCTTATAATAGATCGTATATGAAAAATGCTTCATTGTAAACACATTTCCAAGGTTGAATTAGGTTCTGCTGCATAACTCGGGATTTGGATGATCAATTCCCTGAGCCCCTTAGAATCGTCTATCTTAATTTAGCAGGCGAAGAGTCAGACAATCTGAAACTCAATTGCAAGCATGTATGAACTATTGGATCGACTAGGTCGGCCCTAGCCCTGCACCTAGTGACGATCATACTCTATCGCGAATTCTGCTTAGAAGCGATGTCATTATACCTATGTAGGCATTCTCAAAATCTGACCTGCAGATCTAACCCTTTCCACTGTATGTAGCTAATCGAGTTACAGTAGAATCTGATTGTTGAGTCTACTAGATTACAAGGTGCGTGAGCCTAAAAACTCCCAAGAGTTTAGGAAGTACTTACCTAGGTAGTAGCCTTTGTTACGCGACGAGATAAAGAAAAGTACAAGTCGCTCATATCGACGTAAAAAGCTTGTAGAGATCACTCGAATGCACATGCTTGAATTTGGAAATTCTTAAAAAGCTCGCTATGGAACCAAAAAGATATCTACAATCACTTACCGCGTGATCCATGGATGTCGTGAGATTAAGCACATCTCACTCTTCCCGGCTATCTTCCTCACTCTCCTCCTTGCTCTCCTCCTCGCTCTCATCTTGGCTGTCTTCCTGGCTCCCTTCGCTATCACCTTCGCTACCTTTCTGACTCTCTGGTGGGCTCACGCTCTCGGGCGAAGACATCGCAGGCCCAGATGCAGACACAATCTCTCCAATATCAAAACGAAGCTGCAAGCTCTTAGCATAGAAGTAGCTCTTGATCTGTATGATACGATGAGTACCACGCGGCCAAGCACCCAAAACAATCGAAGCCACTCCCCTTCCAATCGCCGTCCCCAAGATACCCTGATACTCATCTGTGCCATAGGCCCAGAACTTCGCGGCGGGTTCGTTCTTCATACGAATTTTTCCATCGCTATAAAGCTTCTTGACGAATGGCTTCGTCTCCTGGTTCATAATGTCAGCCACATAGATATACTGCAAGGTATTGATGTTCGGACAAACGTGTCTATAATGAGCCAGAGCAACATCCGACCAATGCGGACCGTGATATCTGGCAATTGCAGCAGCAATAATCGCACCTTCAACAACCCAGTGAACGTACTCGCTCCATTTGAATCGCTCGAGCTTAGGCGCCCATCCTAATTGGCGGACAACTGTTCGGTCCCAAACTCGACCTGTCGGAAGACCTACTGTTTTGATATCCTCTTGCGTTGAATCATATGCTTCCCGCCATTGGTAGCTTGTTGTATCTCCATATTGTAGTGTATCAGGCGCGACTGGAAGACTAAACATGTGTTCAAAGGTTAGCGTGGCTTTCTTGATAGGACACCCTGCTAGGGCTGGGTCAATAATCCATTCCTGGTACCGAGCGCCTGCGTCTCGGTAGCGTTGGACGACTTCGGGATCATCGACATTATACCCGCCGTCTCCGCTCGATTGGCTTCCTTCCCAGTTTGTGGTTACAGTATCGGGGATGTCGACGCCTGTGATGGGTGGTGGACGTAATCCTCCTGTGGGTGGGTGCAATGGAAACAGCTTACTCCTTGGCCGTTGTGGTGCGCTCGCTTCGTTTACTGGCTGGGGGTTCGACTTACCCTCTGCTGGGCCTGTACGCTGCTGAGGACAGGTCAGATGAGTGTTTAAGGGTAAGAGAGAGGGAAAGGAGCTTACCTGCTTAGTAGGACGAGAATCATCACTCGAATTACCATCCTCTGTTTTCCGTTTCTCGGAACGAGTGATAGGTGCCATGTTGTTAGATGACTCCAACGAAGTGAACGGGAATATAACCTTGAAATGAGACTTGATTTGGAGTTAGTGGGCTTACTTTTTGTCAACTGGAATGTATTTGGATATCGAAATTCACCTGCTTCGAAGGCCAACTATATATGAACAGCCTCGAGCAGAGAATCGATTACCGCACAAAGAGTAGGACTGAAAGGGACCCGAGGAGCCCAAAGGCACAATGAAAGGCATTGTGTCCCGCAACGAAGGACACAACCTAGGACCTTTGGCAACAAATGAATTCAAAGAACATGTCCACGGGTTGAATGGTCATTGTTGTTGGACATTACCCACAAAGCCTCGAGTGTGAAGCATGAAAGACTGCCCAGGTGAAACACCAGACAAAGAATCCAACCAAATGACAACCAGCAATTTGATTGTAAGCTGGTCGGATGAAATGTTGTCTAGGATGACCGCCAGGGATCGAGATCGAGACCTTCAACTCGATAGACATGGGCTTCGATGCTTGAATTGAAGCATGGTCATACTTGCTGAAGCTAAGGATATCCAATATTAATTGCCACACGCCGAGAAAACAAGAAAGCAGTAAAGAATCAACTATTAGCACCCCACCCCATAGACATCCTCCAATCCTGCCTAACCTCCCCAATACCTCTAGCCAACCCAACAAGACCATCAACAAACCCACCCTGCCCACTATTAACACGCTCCCGTCGCTCGCGCTCACTCTCCGAATCCTGAGACCGAGCACCAATCACCTGCTGGGTACTATACCCCTGCATACGATCCGCATCCATCCTCGTAAGAACCTCAGATCCACCCTGTCTCCGACTCCATGCTGCCTGCTTCACAGCCGGAGCCCAGTATTCCGCTAGAGCGGACTCGTTGCGGCCGCGGGCATAGCATCTTTCAACGGCGGAGTCGGTTTCCGGAATCAGGGACGAGTGCCAGCGCGTACTGGCTATCTCGTACCGTTTCTCCATGAAGAAGATTATCGGCCATGCTATGATCCATAGTTGTAGAATGACGACTGCCCACCACACGGCGCGGTTTGCACGTAGTCGGTTGATCCAGTGTGGGGAGTAGATTGTTACGGAGTGGTGTGCAATGACCATGCTGTAGTTGACTGTGCCGCGGTAGTTGAGTTCGCGAATATGGGTGGAGAAAACATTGCGCATGGCGTTCGAGTCGAATCCGCCCAGTTCGCGACGGAGGGTGAATCTAGTAGTTGGGTGTTAGTCGGGTGATGTTGCAAACTAGGGTGACGGGAGCAACGTACGATTTCACAGGCGCTGGATCATTGCAGAATCGCTCGCACCAAAGGCGAAGATTCTTGCCCGCGACTGCTTGGTCTTGCTGGTCGCCACGCTCTTGGCCCAGGAGGGCATCGCTGTCTTCCGACAGATGAATTGCAGCCTTCTTAGGCGCCTTGTATGTGCGCGATCGGATGATTCCACCCCGATACGCAGGTTTCTGGTCCTCGTCGTCGCGCACCTCCACTGTCATCCAGTTGAGCGCCGCGCGTCCACCATCCCAGCCTGTCAGCAGGGTCTCTGCAAGATCGAGCCTGAAGTCGAAGTCTGTGACGGTACTGCTGTTCTTGTCTTTTTTATTATTGCTTGATTCGGTGTGCGTTCCTTTGATGTAGAGGAGAGGCCGCGGGGGAAGTTTTATCTGGGTGCTGATGGCGTCGAACAGCTGCTCGCTGTTCTGAGACAGCTGCGGTGCAAGAGTGAGCGCGACCTTGTCATCTGGTCTGATGTCTTTGGCGCCCGTGGGAACGTAGGCTGAGTCAATTAGACGGAGGGGTGGGATGGCGGGTTGGGAGGACTGGGAGGGCTCGAAGGGCTCGAAGGGCTCGGGATCGTCGGAGTACGGAGGAGGCGCGTCTTCGATGGAATGCAGGGAGTGTGACGATGACGCCACGTCTTTTTGAGGGCGACCCATGTTGTGACAGGGAATTTGATGAATACTTCAACTTTGAAAGAGACAGGGGACAAGGGGACAGGTTTTTCGTCAGCCTCGTCAGCCTCGCATCGACTGCCTAAGCCTTCCCAGGTTAGAATGGGGGCGATGTTTACAGTTGAGCCGCATACATCTGACAATCAACTTTCAATATTCAACTTTCAGTACTTTATTTGAATACCATTACTCTTCCATAAATATCACTATCTAATTATCTATCCAACATAACACTTCATCGACCCAAAAGGCCGAGGGTCCGTCGACTTGCGATTTTGGCAAACGCCGCCCCATCGCGCGCCGTAAGTCTGGCTAAGATCGTTGTAGTTATCGCACACCTCATTCGGACTGACAGTGCAGAGCCCGTTCGAAATCAGCCAAGAGTTGGGCGTCGTCAATTTGGTGTGATTGCAAGGACCCGAAGTAAGTCCACCGTTGGTCCACCATTGACACGAAACAGAAACGCCGTCGTAGCTATTGCCAATGTCCCAGCCCGGCAGAACTAAACAGTCACTGTCCTCGAGCTTCTTGTTGTAGCCGCGGAGGAGCATATACGAGGAGTCATTGCAATCATAGCCGGGATACATCTTCAGCGTCCAGCCGAACTCGACGGTCTCTATAGAGCCGGGTTTTGATGCGGAGCTCGTGGTCGTGCTTGAATATGCGCTAGTAGTGAATGTAGCCACGGCTGTGGTATCTTCCTCGGGGTGATAGTAGGTCAACGGAATGTCCAAGAAGTTGATCTCACTCGCTGTGGCAGGAGGCGCTACAGCAGTAACAGCGAGCTGCTTGTTATTTTGTGAGTTGGTGGCTTTTGCTACTTCAGCTGGAGCATCTTTCTTTGGAACGTTCTTAGTGGCTGATTTTCCCGTCTCACAGAAATCAGCACCAGTACCGCATTTGCCTGCTCCAGAACACTAGAAGCACGATCAGTACGAGTTCGCTGTATGGAAATCAGTCCAGACTTACACATTGACCAGCTGGGCATGGGTTCAGGGAAGAAACTTGGCTCCAGTCCGAGGGGCGCATAGAACCCGGGACTTGGGGTCCACAGACAGCTCCTTCGAAGGCGACTGGCATCGGAGGCTCGCCGGAGCTAAGGCACATCCTGCTTCCTTCTTGTATAGATTCGCATCCTTTCCAGTCCCAGGTGTCTTTGTTGAAGGCCTCGATATCGGCAACGCTGAGCTTGTATCCGTCGGCAATTTGCTGACAGGTGTGTCCGCCTCTCGCGGTATAGTCATAGCACAGAGGATCTGCTCCCTTGGGTGGAAGAGTCTGAGTGCCCGCCGAGCAGCAGACTGGTAGTCCAAAAGGCAAGGCAGAGCACGATACAGCCGGGTTGAATGTTGCGAAGTCCGCGGACGAGACTCCACACTTGGAAGCTAGACTTTCGCAGTTGTCTGCAGCACTGACAAGGATGGACCAGCAGATGGGATTGGAGCGGGCTTGAAGAGATACATTCTGTATAAAGTGAGTAGTTGCTCGAGATGGTACTCTAAGTTTCATTGCATACCTGAGCTCGAGTCGTCGCTAAAGCAGATGCCGACTGGATCAGAATGAAGGCGCACAGGACACGGAGGATGCTATTGTCGGAGAAGGCCATACTGCAAGAACTGATCTACAGTGCCTTCCTCGCAGCGTGACGCGTCACTAATATAAGAAGTATCAACCAGATGATTGAAAGTATCGAAACTCACGATACTACATGGTGGCGGCAAAGTCATTGATGCAAAGGGGTTCCCATGAAACACAGATATTCTGTTTGTGGTATACCGCAGGGTCCAGAGACATAGAAACCCGGGAGTTGGATTTGATGTGAAGAATGAAAAACTTCAGAGGGTTTACAAAAATAAATCTTCAAGGGTTCCCCGCCACTATCGACAAAGGATGCCATTGGCGATGGGTGATAACGTGACATTGAAAGCCCTTTGTCAACCAAGATCTCCTTCCCATTCCAAGCCGACAAAACAAAGACACAGATCTGTCTGTAAATCTGCATCCAGATCTTTTGCAAGTTGGGGAGTTTTGGCATCTAACCTTGGAAGCCGATGCCACCCCAAGTGTCATCTTGAACCCTTGCTTGAGTCTGAGACAAAGACACCAGATCTATTGATGCAAAGTTTAGCACAACCCAGTCACATATTGATCGGTTTTCATAGTAATCTGGAAAATCTCTGCCCGGGGATCTCTAGGTAAGTGTGGAAGATGTTCTAAATGCAGTCTTTCGAAACAAATCCCCCGAGGTCACACCCAAGCCATCCTGCGCCTCTCTCGGGCTTCTTTGAAGAATGACTCACTGGCCACCCGCCCAGGTGGACAGGCGAGAAACTTGGAAAGCCCCAGTTATTGATACCGACAAGAGTCCCGCTTTGATGCAAAGCCTGACTGTCTTCCAAGATTGTAAAATCTATCAAACGGCGGTTTTCTAGTATCTTACCATCTGCATGTGCGTCATCATGGAGGGCTACTCTCAAACCCTGGTGCGTGTCTGGTTAAGCAGACGTCCGCATATGACCTTGGAAATGCACCAGGTGCTCTGGGCCTCCATACTCCCATTAGATTCATGTGCTAATTTACTTTCAATATATTCCGTCGTGAGCGTGAATCAAGTACATACGACCACAGGGTGTGGAAAACAGGGCTTCCCGTCCGCTCAGCCGTACTTAAGCCACATCGTAGAAACTGACTCTTATCGCTCTGGCTTTTTGTGCTAGTAAATAACCGGCTAAATAAGTGCTTAAGTATATATCTATTACCTAATATAGCGGAGAAACCTTGAAACAGCTCACCGAGAGGTAATGTGATAGATAAATGAGCCTTGGATATAGCACTAGAATAACGATCTATTAGCTATGAGATGCATAAAGGTGTAGCCTTCTGTTATAGTCACTTGGTCTTTCCATAAGACTGCCGATTATATCTAGGGACTCATTGTTTCTATCTCCGGCCTTATCTAAGATGGAGTACTGGTTTCAGTATAGTTATTATCTCCAGAGCTGGATCATTCTATCCATAGCAACAATTCATTTCATGTTATTTATTGATTACTTCGAAGGTTCAAGGTTTGAGGTTATATCAAAAATCGTTAGATATCTATATAACCTACTTGATGGTCCTACTAGTATCATAAGTCCATAAGCGTAACACAAAGCCTCTATAATATAGTCTATATAACCTAGCCTAAATTCTATAGATAGTGTTGTGAGTCATATGCATTGGCACATGATTCTGTTCTATCGCTCCCTCAGTTCTGTCTCAGTACAGTGGTATTCGAAATTAGTTTAAACTCTAATCTCTCTTACTTCTTTCCCAACAAGCTCATCCTAGCCGTAAGAGACCATATCAAGATATTCTTCCGCAGATGTTGCGTTCGTCCTGGTTTCAAAGGGGGTGATATTTCTTGACAGTCCTCATATGTAAGATTGGTGTTGGATCTACTGCATCCCTTGTGTTATTGTAGACATGAAGAGGCTCACGTGAGTTATTTAACTATCGTTAATATCTTGAAGAGGCTCGTATTTGTTCAATCTTGTGACAAGCCCGTTTTCCGTGACATCATATATAGACACCATGTCATGCGCCAAAGAAACTCTGTTAGAACTGACTACAAAAACCAGATGTAACCTCGTTTATGCAGTAAAAGTATGAAATCATGACTTCCAAAAAATCCGCTAAACTTGCAGTCCTTATTGACGCTGACAATGCGCAATCTTCCATTGCAAGACAATTACTTGCGGAGGTCGGAAAATACGGCGAGGCTCACGTAAAGCGGGCATACGGGGACTGGACCAACCCTCAACTGAAAGGATGGAGCGATGTGCTGCCTAGAAATTCAATTGAGCCCATCCAGCAGTTTGCATACACCCACGGCAAAAATGCAACGGATTCAGCTATGATCATTGATGCGATGGACCTGTTAAGCTCGGACCGTTTCAATGGTTTCTGCCTCGTTTCTAGTGACAGCGACTTCACTCCACTGGTGACTCGAATTCGTGATTCTGGGCTGAAGGTATATGGGTTCGGGGAGCACAAGACGCCTAAAGCTTTCGTCTCCGCCTGCGATGAATTCATTTTCACTGAACACCTGAATCATCGTTCAGAGCGTAAAATAAATCCCAACGAGGTAGCCATGTCTGAGTCTCACGATCCCGCCCACAATGCCTCAGATAGTCTACTACAAAATTCGGCAGAGACGACTCTCCATAGAGATGAATGGACTCGGCTGTCTGACGTTGGCGAGCACCTTACGACACGTCACCCAGACTTCAGCCTTTCCACGCGCGGGTATGCCAAGCTCAGCGATCTTATTTCGGACTCCCCTCAATTTGATATTGAGGAACGGCCTTCTCAGCGTGATAAATCCCCAGAGCTCTTCGTACGACACCGGAGAACCTTAGCTGGAACTATGAAAATCTGATTATTTGAGCTCTATCAATAGTCGTGAATTTACTACTATGAAGACTGTGGAGGCTAGTGACAATCGATGTTATGTTTCAATTGGTGTTTGTTAATGAATTTTATTATGCCTGGAATGTGCAACTTATTCGGACCTCCCAGTAGTCTAGCTAGATTTAGTTTTCTCTTCTCTCCCTTTTCTCTTCTTCTCCTCAACCAATCAACCTCAGTTGAAGAAAACCCCCTTCCTTCCGATCCCTAGATCTAAGACAACTATTTCCTACTCTTTTCAAAGCACTGAATGAGTTTGATTTCTAAGACGATAAAATCAAGAATTGGTATGTGCCGCTGCCCTAGAAGCACTACTCCAATGAGACTTTCATCTTAATTCTCTAGGCAAAACTCAAAATTCTGAAGTGCAAATGGTATGCCCTGACTATCGAAAGAAACGAAATTGTTCTCAGAGAAACAAACGTATTCAGCACCAACTTGTTGAAGATTGAAATAAATGCAAAGTTGGCGGGAATATGTCCTAATAGCGTGCTTGAGGTGGGGCCCCAGGAAAGAAAGAGAGTGAGATTTGAGTTCAAACTGATTTCGAATATCACTGCAGCTAGATTTCTTCCTTCTTCTTCCTCCTTCCCTTTAGGATCGTGAATTTAGTCAATCTTCTACCCCTCTGGGCCCTTACGATACGGTAGCTATTTCCAACAGATGGGGATTGACCTACCATCATATTAGACGTACTTTTGTGTCCTAATTCCCTTAGGCCACTCAATGAGAACTTTGTGAGATGCAAACTGATTGGTAAGTTTTCCGAGTACAAAGATAACTCCAGTGGCGGTAAAAATATTATCATTGAGAAACGGCAGAATACTTTTAGGTATAGAGATAGAGGAGGGAGGATCTTTTATCCCTCTTTTCGGAGTCCGGTTGGTATCGTTTAATTATATTATTTTACTTTATTCTGTATGAGTTTTAGGAGGCTATAGACTCCTAATATTATTAGTACTAGAGTAAGGATTATAAAATAGAGTTGTTATTATATATAGGAAGAAGGAAGAGATAATTGAGTAAGATGAAATAAAGAAACCTATTAACTTTGGAAGAAGAAATAGGGTTATGTGATATAAAGTTATATCTATAGGTAACTTAAAGAAGAAGATCCTCTATCTTTAATAGTTTTACTAAGATTCCTATCCTATAGTTAGATAACCCTAGGATCTTGAGAGTATCTATAGATATAATATATAGTTATATACCCTAGTTTTCTTTTTACTCTTGCTCTAGAGCTCTTTCTTTCTTCTCTCTTAATTCTCTTTTATAGTTCTTTACGTATTTACTTCTATCTATATATTAGTAGTTTCTTCTTTCTTTCTTTCTTCTTCTAGCTAGTAGCCTTTATAGCTTCTATCTGTTAATTTTGTAAGAAAAGAACTTTAGAATATATATATATAGTAAAAAGAAATTAGTGATATATTTGATAGATAACATAAGGTAAATACATGATTATTCTTTTGATTCTAAGAGAGACCTTAGGAGATATTTTAAGAAAAGAAAGGTAAAGAGGGGAGAGTAAATTACTATATAGTGTGTACCTATCTATCTAGATACTGTATAGAGTATGGAGTATTATATATATATATATATCTATATAGGTACTTGTTTTTACTAATTAACTACCCCGAGGTCTGATATCTTGCTGAGCTGGTAATAGAGGCTGTGTGTAGATGTTAAGAGAGTAGTTATTTTAGAGTGAATACTCTAATCTAATAATAACTATCTACTATTCAACTGAGAAGGCTAGTGCAGTGGTTGGGTGACAGTAGGTGGTTTTTTGTCAGCTTATCACCCTGTTTATAGTGCACTCACCCTTGTCACCCCTAGTCATACAATATAAAAGCGGTGCTCACCTATTTCTTACCTTGGTGATACCCACCTGATTACTGGCTGTATTTAAGCCACATACCGGTGAGTTAGTAGTTGGGTGGGTGACCACTAGCGAATCCTCACTGTTGTATGTTTTTGCTTTCTCCTTTTTTGCTCAGGTAGCTTAATGACCCCGGGATTTAGTATCTCAGCTACAGATTGGAAAATAAGAAAAAGGCATTGCTAGGCAGAAGGACTATGGAAGCTTGATTGGCATATGCATCTCAGCACCTGCCCAGGTGGCAGAGCCTAAATATCAACTGTCCGCGGCATGGCAGGTTGGTTTTACCTACTACGAATATATCTGGGGCGAAGTATGGTCACCGGAACGTCTTGCTAGCTGCTTTAATTGTGAAGTTTGGTCCCATCGGAGGTTGATATGTAGCTGATGAGACTACCATGAATCAAGATTGGACAAGGCGTAAGCACTGATCCATAGCTCCACCTACCAAGAGCGTTGGACATTACCTAGGGAGAGTGCGTCCCTACTTCTCAGCAGGATAAACGACGATGCGATCCAAGTCCGCACCCTTGTAGTCAACCCCGTTATATAATCCACCAATCGTGATCGTGTTCTTCTTCCCCTTCTTTAAAGTGAGTTTCAATGGAGTGGAGAGGATGATACCCTTGTGGGTGTCTCTTTGATACAAGGTTTGCAGGCTTGATGCCTCTCCGTTCACGATCACGCTGCTGATGCGGCGCAGCTGCCACGAGCCACCAATACGGTCGGGGGAGCCACCGGCTGAAATGAATTAGATCTCAAACGTATATGGAGGGGTTGGTATTACTCACGTTGGTCACCGAAGCCCATATCATCGGTGTCTAATGATGTTGTTAGAAAAGTATCAGGAAGAAGCTGTTATCATCTTACTTTGGTAGTAAAAAGACACCCATTGTGGCTTTCCAGATCCTTCAATATTTTCAAAGGTGACAGTGCTGCTGTTGCCGTAGATTCCTGTCAAGATTATGCCATCCGTGCCGAAATTCTGTCCAATGTGTTAGTCTACCTCATTTTATGAACTGGATCTGAGTATACTGACAGCTTCTTGCTTGTAAGCGTCACCGATCGCCTTCGCATTCTTGGCAGGGTAAGTGGTTCCCTTGATGGATTTCCATTCACCCGTTTTCCTAGTTGGGTCAGTTTTTCAATGCCAATGAAGAAATATGATGCGTGTACGAACACGTTGAGATCATAGACATCATGCCATTCCAACTCCAGTGTCTTGGCATTTTCGTCTGTCTTGATTGGAAGCCATATGTAGCGACTGTCCCAAACAGAGTTTGAGTCCCACTGATCTCCAATGTAAAGATAAGTGGTCTTTTTGCTTCCTTCGATTCTGAGTGTGAAGCCGGATTGCGAGTTGAAAGTTCTTGTGTTGAGAGGCGACACGATGAATGGTTGAGACCACGGACCCTTCAGCGAGTCGGCACGGAATGCCACCACGTCTGGAGACTAAGTTAGGAAATGATTCCTTCTCGGGTTGAGCGCACTCACTGTTTGGCCTATATCCAGTCTTGTGACTCATCAGTGCCCAGTAGCTTTTCTCAGTCTGCATGATCGTAGGCGCTTCAAGATCAAATTTGGGGAAACGATACACCACGTCTTCGAGAGAGGTGAGGTTGTCATTCATGCTCGCGATGTAAACATCCCGCCCGTCGACACTGTCGCCGTTGGAGTAGAGGGCATATGAACGACCATCCTTGTAATCGTTAAACAAGCCAAAGTCCTGAGACCAGTTTCCAAGCGGTGCGGTTGCGTCCACGAATGTGTAAGGGCCGCTGATGTTGGGTGAAACGGCGTGACCTTGAAGGAGAAGGCCGTACTTGGAGTTGTCGGCATGCCACCACATCTGTCAAGTGAGGTTAGATTGAGATCTCAGCATCCGCAGGTGAGAGCTGCTCCATACGTGATAATCTTCAGTCTCCGCACTGTAGGCGACCTTAGGCCGTTGGATCACGTTGCTGGTCGAAATGTAGGGATGGCCCTCAACGGGGGCTGGTTTTGTTGTCAATCTTAGTTCATCTTCGTCGTAGGAACTGGAGAAGAGTTTGAAATTCTGGAAAGGGAAAACATACCCAACGCCAATCCCCCCGGAGTCCAAACACTTAGATCTTCGGAGCTGTAAACGGAAACACCACCACCTTCCGGATGCTCCTCCGTTTTATATTCACCAAACCACCAGAACAGGCCAGACTTCTTGTCAAAGGTAATTCCGGCTCCGTGGGCATTAATCACCGATCCATTGGTATCTTGCCACCTGCCGCCGGGTACGATATATTTACTTGCTACCGGGGTAGCCAAAAGGCCGGCCCAAACACAAGCCAAAACCCGCATTGTAGTCTTCTCAATACCCTGGATTGAATCTTCAGAGTCTCCGTTCTACATTAATTCTTTAGGGTCCGTTTTATAGCATATCCCCTAGTCGGCGTCTGCTATACCGATACTGCGGGGTAGATGGAAGTCTTGAAATTACTCGTCTTGGCAGTTCTGGTCGCTTAAATTTGAGAAAAAATTCAGCTCCCTTCTTCCAAGGTTGGTACATTTATTTTGTTGCGAGCGCTCCCTGGTTGCTTGGCCATGATAGTGGCGTGGAAATTTAAGGGAAGATCCCAAGGTCTCGCCATGTTTATACAATCTGCTGCCACCCGCCGAGCAAGGTAACCTCCTTCCAAGGTTCCAAGTTTGTGTTGCGTTTCCCTCTCCTTTCATTTCGTTCTTGGGTGATTTGCCAAGGGAGGTCTGTGAATTAATGTGGCCACTCTTATATAGCTTCGGGTAAAGGCTGAGGGAAGATTTAGCGCATCAAGTGAGAAAGAAGAAAACGTCCTGACAGCGCAGAATCCATCAGTCATCATTTGCACCTATCCCCTACCTGAAAAATGGCTCCCGGGCTGTCACCAAACTATACTACCACAAGAGCCTCCCGAGGTCTGGTCTCTCGATTCTGAAGGCTGAAGATTCACTGCAACCTGGAATTTATCCGAAAGGGCCTTGGCGTGAGTACAGCATAATTAATTATATGCCGTGACCAGCTTGAGCTTCAGGGTCTTAACCCAAATAGGCAATGGATTTTGATTGGTGCAACAACATGTGCCATGTTTAGATGTCGGAAACACTGTAACTCTGTTGATGCCAAGCCACTTCGCATGGGCATCATCGTCGACCCCTCAGTTACAGTCGGAGGATGATATACCGATGAAATGAAAGAAGCTAAATCGTACGATATTAAATTACTTGGAGAGACAGCCAAGCTTTATGCGATCAGCTATTCTAGGTAAGACTCCACAATGCGTTTCCACTCCACTGTCGCCCTGGCGCCATAAGTACTAGTGTTCAATGTACTAATTGCAACAATCAACCGAAGTGAAGGCTCAATCAAAAGCAGCGAGGGTAATCTCTAATTCTATAATGGACTCAGGATCGCGATGGGAAGTATCGGGCAGTACAAGAACGAATTCGAGACGATCGAAAGAGCGGCCGGCTGTTGAGAACATCCAATTCAACAATATCATACTAAAGCCAACGAAACACACACGCACTGAAATTGAAAATCTGCTTCCTAACCTGGCAGCTGGCCGGACTATATCCACCTGAGCACCCTGTGCTGTCATCTGAATGTCCGCATTCCAGTCAGCTATCCGTGAGACATGTGCACAAAGGTTGTGTCTAGGCAGTCACAGCCTTCTGCTTCCGCACGACCGGGAAGTCCCAAGATCCGTTCTTGAGCTCATCTTTAGGCGCATAAAATCGCACTTCAAGCCACGTCAGCAAGTTCTGCGAACAAGAAAAGGAACATTTCACTCACGCGTCAAGTCAAATTCACCACCACCCGCAGGCGCAGGCAACCAGCTTCAAAGCGTTAGTCGACTCTCGGATCTTTTTTCCTCAAGGAAAAACTTACTTGGAGGTCCAATTCTGCGGCGGCTCAATATCAACCGGCTGCACTAAGACCTGGAACTCGGCTTGCTCCCCAGTGTTGTTTCCGTAGACAGGGGTACCATCAGCGAAAGTCAGTCCAGATCGATCACTGACTGAATACTGGTCCAGGGGGTTATCAATCAGGTATTTCTCGGAATTGTACGCCGTCAGGCTCCAGAACCCTCTCTCCATCACCGGTGGCTTTGCGCTGAATGTGAAGACGTACGCCTCATCAGCGGCTAGCTTAAGGGTGTCTCCATCACCTGCGTACATAGGGTACAGCGACTCTTCCGCGGTCAGAGCAAGGTAGCCCCAGTTTGCCATGAACGCACGCATGTCATAGTTGGTGGCATAGTCACCCTGTGCGGTGGAAGTGATCATCTGCCAATGATTGGTAAGATTCATGACATTTTGAGGCTGACTGAATGCCACCAGAATCTCCTTCGCGGCACTCTGGGCGACAGTGGTCAGGTTGCGGACCTGGGGTTTGTAATGACCGTTATCGATTCCGGCTGCCTTGAGCATGCGGTTGACGTGCGGGAGATCGGAGATGTCGCGGGGTGGGTTGTGGGGCGCGAATCGTGCGAGCATTTGCATAGTCCTGGTCGGCAGGTCCTTGGAGTATGCGGGCGAGTTGAGCATACTGGGCGTCAGTCGTGGGGCAGTGGCATCTCCTAGGCGCCTGCGGGAGGCCAAGTGGATGGAAGACCTGTTCTGCAGCTTGTGGATCGCGTCAAGGTCGGTGCTGTTGTTCATGACTTCGAATCGGGTAATCATCTGTCCGTAGGGTGTTGGGGCGTTGATGAATCCGTCGTAGCCATCGCAGGTGTTGTCGGCGCGCTTGTTGGCAATGTGGCTGCAAAGATGCAAACCTATTTCTTTGCTCTTGCTTGGGTCGTAAAGAACGAGATACTTCCCAGCTGTGCCGTTGGTGGTTGAGCCAATGTTGGCATAGTTGTTTCCATACCTAGGATCACGGTCAGGACGCCTGCTAGTTTGTCGAAAAGTACACAAACTATGACCACTCACGTATCGTATAAGGGATAGTTCCAGTATCGATCACCATCAATGGAAGGAATAGTAATGACGATGTCACTATGAGACAAATCGATGGCAGCAGACGAGTACAGCGTGTCAACGTTTGGACGCACGACGCTCTGGTCTGCTGGTTTAGTGAGCTCCCTGGAATGATAGTACTTGTTGGTCGCATTGACCATCGATATGATGTCGCCAGCGGATTTGCCAAAGGGGAGCAATGGAACTCCATACTAAAGCTTCGTCAGCGTATGGCAAAATCTTCATGGAGCAAAGGGTAGACCATACAATCAGGGAGAACTGAGTAGCTTCATGAGCAGTAGTATCGCTGCCGTTGAGCGGTGCAGCGCTGGCGACCGTCGCCAGTAGCGTCGTTGCAGTAATGAGATTCAGATGCATCTTACGATTGAGCTTCGTGGTTTGAATGAGATGTGTGATGTCCTTCATAACTGCGAGGCATTCTCAGTATTTATATGATGAAGCATCATACAAAATATGATGTCAATGAGGCAGTGGTCCGGCCAAGCACGCTGCCTCCATGATCTGCAAGGCCGCCTGCGCCTCAATGTGAACTCGTCCCCTATATTGCTGTCTCTGATTCGGCGACATGGGTATGGCTTGCGAGATTCGCGCCGATCAGATATCCGAGAGACAAAGTGGGGGCAGCTTATTCTCGTGGGGCCGAAGTGTGTAAATTACGGGTTTTGCGAGCTGTTTTGGGGGCCACAGTAGCGCCTTGGCGTTACGCTGATCTTCTCGGCCTCTAAAGCAAACATTCGAAAGAGTAACAGTTGCAGAGTCGTCAGGCATGGCCTCAGCTATAGTTAAATTTGGAGATAACCAGTTCACTGTGAAACACACCCCAAGTCGCTTTTTTTGTGGTAGCCCTCACCCCGAGCTAATCCGAACTTCTTCAGGTCCATTTTTCCCGATATAAAATACTCCTACATCGAGTTCAATATTGCATTCTTATATGGGGATGGACATGAACCATGCTGAAAATAAACACAGGATTAATTCAAACCCTATCTATTGTGAATTCCTAGCTGTCAACTGGTGATAAATCCAACGTAGCTCCTTTCAAGATATCGTGAAGCAAATTAGAACAGAAATGCTATGAGAAATCCTCCCATTCAACCTCCCCCGGATAGGCCAGCGGCTCAAGCGATCCTTCCGACGACAAGATCTGACCGGCTTCACACTTGGTAAACGAGACTGAATTGGTCTCATAGCTCTTCTCGTAAAACTCATCGTACTTGGGATCCAGGGCTTCATCCAGATTCTTCACGTTGCCTTGTGGGTGAAGGACAGCCCATGGCTCAATGCAGTCTTTTGCAACACAGGTCTTGAGTACCATTAGAAGTGCATCAAGCCGATGAGTGATCTTCTTGAGGTCAGAAGTAGAATCGGCCCGTTTTTCCTGGTCTTTAAACGAGGAGGAGAATAGATTGTTCATCTGGTAAGGGTCGGCCTAGGATAGTTCCAAGGTTAGCGACATAATCTCAGAAGCAATGGCAGGGGTGCGTACAGTCAAGTTATACAATTCATGCTCGTTGTTGCAGAATACAGAGTAGTAAAGATTGTACTCTTTCCCGACCAGTCGCAATGCTTTGTACGTATTCTCAGGGTTTTGCTTGGCTGCACAGCTCGTTAGCACTCTCTCAAGACTTTCCACATGCATTGAACTTACTCCCTGCGGCCAATGGGTTTCCATACATTCCCTCGGAGTTCACCGTCCCCCAGTGCTCCACATTGACATGTTCGTGCCTTGTACTGACGGCATCCTCGATACCTGATCTTGTGAGCGGAATAGGCATTCCATCAAAGTCTTCACGCAGGTCAATGCCCAACATGTCAAAAAATGTCGGTGCAAGGTCCGTATGCGTCGTCACAATTTCCGTTGTCTCGCCTTGTGGAACTCCAGGTCCGCGAATTATCAATGGAACGTTAATGTCTTCTTCGAAGCCGCATCGCTTTCCTGGCTGCAGACGGTGCTGGCCGATGTGAAACCCATTGTCAGACGAATAAACAACGTATGTGTTCTCAAGAATCCCCAAATCCTCAAGTTTCTTGAAAACTCCGTCAACCATTTCGTCGACAGCTTGGAGCGCTCGAAGACGGTTGCGGTAAAATTCGTCATTGTAGTCAACTTCGGTCTGATTCTGCTGCGGGAGTTGTGCAATCCAGCTTAAACCGCTTGGCTTGAACGAGCTATTGTCAGTACAAAGCTCATGATCTCTCGTGACGGACTTGACATACCGAATCAGGATTGAAGTTTGGAGTCCGGGGAACAACAACATCCGAGAACAGGGACTTGTGTCGCTCATCAGGAATCGGGTCCCCAGAAGTATGTGAGACATTTGTTCCAGCTATATTCACATCAACATTTGCATGCGGAGCGATCGGTGCTAAAGCCACGAAAAAAGGAGAGTCCGAGCGAGCCCCTTCTTCGATGTACGCATATGCCTTCTCTGCAAGAAGATCAGTGCTGTATTGCCCAGCGGCGCTTTTTGGTGGGCTTTGGTCGCGTTGCCAGACACTTTTCAGGTAGCTGTATGTGTATGGGTCTAGAAGAAAATCCGAAGATGTCCACCCTGCTGGAAAGGGCTTGTTGTAGTTGAGAACGTGGTGGAAATTCATCAACTTTCCTGTGTAGTAGGTGTTGTATCCGGATTGTTGAAGCCAGATGGGGAGGTAATTTTGATTCAGGTCTTGTTCGATAAATTGTCGGTATCCCCCTATTAAGAGTTAGCGCTTGCGGCTTCAAGATTGTTGAAGGTGACATACCATAAGGTGGCTCAACATCAGTAACATTCGTGTTGTGGGCAGCTTTGCCGGTCAACAGGCTCACTCGAGAAGGGCAACATAGTGCACTAGGTATTGTCAGCAGATGAGAACAGGTATTCAATCGAAGCATAACTTACATTGTACAGTAATGCTTTTGATAGTAAGTCCCCTGGTCAATCAAATGTTTCTGGACATTTGGCATGTAAGACAACGAGTCCATGTGCAAATCTTGGTCGTCTGTTAAAATGAAAACAACATTGGGCTTTTTAGCGCTAACAGCCAAGACTGATGCCGCTATCAATAGCGCCTGTAACATTCCGAACAAGGTCATCATTGCCCAGGTGTGCTTATGCAGAGGATAGCAGCAGATAATAAGAATACACTTGATTGAAATCGATCAAAGGTTGGGCTAGAGGCTATTTTATATTAGCGATAGTCTAAATAATCGTAATCAAAAGCTCCATGAAAATATGCGGGACATGGGCAGGCTCGCAAGCGAAATATTCATTCGTACAATACCGTACATGGACCTTGCGAGCGCCTTGACATGACACTTCAAGGGAGTGGAACTCAACGCAACTTGAAACTATCTCAGAAATGGAAATGATTAGCCGCTGCTTCGGTCATTCTTCACTCGAGATTGCGGCGTCGTTTGGAGTAGATTCGGGGTTGTCTGTACTATTGCATAGCCACAGCGTAATACGGGGCAATCGAAGATCATCTCGCAAGCCACTTTAACATCATTGTAAGAGATTTCACAGGTAGAAGTACTATTATGGTGCGACGAAATCCGAATTGCTTGTTGAATTTATGTTTGTGGCGTTTGCTCTCCTTCTTCCGAGCGCTTTCTACTTTCATCGCTTCTCTCAGTCATCATTCAGTTGACTTTATCGCATCTACTACATCCATTCGTCCAGTACAGGCTGGATCATGACCTCTCCATGTTTGTCATCCATTCCACCTGATTCCAACAAAAACTCCATCTCGTTACTCTGATACACGCGACTCCTCACCGCCATCGCCAGCGTGGAAGCCTGCTTCACGCCCATTTGGGTAGACAAGAAGTCCAACCGACGAGCTACCCAAAGCTTCTGTGTCGGCTTCAACCCATCCACAATGCCGGCTGTGTACAGAGGCCATGTGACATTACAGGCCGACATTTTTCGCGGATGTCGACCATCTGGAAAGCCTTCCTTTGGGTACCGAAGCTCGTCGGAGCCCCGAACGGAATATCCCAAGTGGTAGGACATCGAGGCGCATATTTCGCTAGCAGAAGAAAGGATCTGCACGTGCGCTGCTTCAATTCTCATACTGAGCTCGGTGAGGGAGAGTGATATTGAGTCGTTGAAAACAGCGGGTGTGATCAAATTATACGCCCACAGAAGCAGGCCGTTGGCGAAGATGCGTACAGCTCGATAATGCGCCCACGCATTGGCTGCAGGGTATGAATTATATACGAGGGCTGTCGATGACCAAGGATCGACTGCCTCTGGGGAAAGCTGAACGGTCTCGGGCGCGTGGTCTGCGGGTATCATTTGTGGCCAACGAGAAACGTCCTTCTCGACTTCATGAATGCTTTTGATCACTCTTTTCAGCATGCTTACGGTCTCTCCCGTAATATTACTATCTTCGACTTTGCGAAGAAGTAATTGGGCCTCAAGAAGCTTGCATGTGGCCGGGTGAAGGAGTCGTCGCGGGACCACAGGGCCCTTCGCGGTGGGCGCTGCATCATATAGCTTGCGCAACTCGGATACTGCAAGCGGGAAACTGTCGTCTGAATTGTGGAAAGTATTTCGTTGAGAGGTGTACATCTAACTTGAGGTCAGCCGAAGATTGAGAAGCATCTAATGATCAATCATACTAGACGTGTGACAAAGGCCCCATACAGCCTCTTCGTGGTGATATCGTTGTTATTTTCGACAGACTCATCTTTCATCAAAGCCATTGCCCCACGGAAGTGTGGATTTAGCGGATCTATGTGCTGGGGGTTGGCTAGGTCCTGAGCGGCCGATTAACAAGTTATGTTCAAGCCAGGCCTCTGTCCACACTCCAGGGCTCTTTCCATGAGTGTTCTACTTACCTCGTACATGCTCAGTATCAAAGTGGCGAGGATGACCTCTTTTTTTCTTCTTGCGTCTCTTTGGCGAATTACAAGTCGTGTCAATTTGAGGGCCTGCCCATAGTTCTCACTTGCATCGCCCATGGTCCTTGTATCATCATTGCCTTGGGATACGAACGCCAGGAGGAGAGCCGACAAAGCCGAATAAAGTGGCGAGGATGGTGGCAACGTCTCACAAACACTGGGCAGACAAGTTAAGCACCCATCGTACACGCCGTCTATTTGTGGAAGACGAGCAACATGAGAGAACAGACGATGGAGATTGACCTGATTCAGGCTCAAGCGAGGAAAACTTGAAAGACTGTCCAGCAGCGGTGTGACACAGGCGCCTGGAGCCACACAGTTGGGCACATTATTCTGATCTCCGGACTTGAATAACGCAAAGTCTAGAGTAGGCATAGAGGGCTTCAAATTCTCGGAGGTTTTCCAAATGGCTAAAGCCTTCCGCGTGCCGTCATCAAGCATGCGATACCCTAGACACGGACGCTTGGCCTTCGCACACCGCAAACATTCGGGTTTTGCCTCGTCGCACTTATGGATGGTCAGATTTCGCGATTGAGAGCCGGTGGAGAGTGCTTACTTTGACCTTACGAGCGCGGCATGTATCGCATCCTCGGCTGGGATGGCCTGGGTAAACCATGTCTTCGGTATCGCAGTATGTGGGGCAAAAGAATGACTGATTGACACTAGCTTTACTGTTGATTTGCCTTTGGTGAATATTGTCAAGACAGGTGATCTCGAAACATCCAACAGCAGCGCCGCGACCCAATACGGGGCTGGACCCTGAGTTCAAACACTCAAGCCTGTTGAGGATTTCAAGCTTGAATTGGCGTGCTCCTCGATAAAGAAAAGCAATCAAATATCATCAGAAGGATTGAATCAAGGTACGAGATGGCTGAGTTTTCAGATTGATAGGGGCTCCCAGGCTTCGCGGGGGCTGAGTCTGACAAACGCCGATCACTGCAATCTCCAGGGCTTGGTCTTCCCAGTATGACGACACGAGATGACCTCGAGCGAGGAGCTATTCCGCATAATGAAGATTCCACGGTCGCGCACCTGTTAGAACTCACAGTGCTTATCGCTTTCTTGGATACATCACGTCCAAAGATCCATCCAAAGAGACATTCATGGTCTTCCAGGATATGGCCATTTCTTCTTTCTCCTTGTGGAGATTGCGATGCTGATTTTCAGGCTTGGAAAATTACCGTTGGCCCCCAACTTTTAGGCGTCCCCATCATGAACGCCAAGGCCGCTCATGGCCTAATGCAGCCTTAGCCTTGCAGATCTGCACTTTAAGCATAGTATCAATATCCCCCTGAAGACCCCAATATAACATACACGGAGTATCATGGCTTCTGGATGCGTACCTACTCCGTACGGAGTACGGACTTATCGAATCATTGGCTCGTTGGGCGATGTTAGAACTCGAATCACACGGCCCATGTCCCAATTCACTAACAGTATTCCGAAACTTCAGATACTCAGGTTATGGCTCAAAGCCTCTTTGAATACGAACTCGAACGGTTGGGTCCCAAGTGAGGTCTGGGATGCTGCGAAAGATGCGCATTTTGCTGCCTTTGATTAAAAAAAAATACCATCAGCACGGGGATTCAAGGCCTGTGGTAAAATCACGACGGTTGTTAAAACAGAATCTTGAGAGAATGTTGGTCATTCGATGATAGATCCATGGATGAAACCCGGCACCCGGGTACTAAAGAATGTACGGAGTACGCCCGGGCGCCGTCCCCGGGGGCGCCACTCCAGATGTCATCCTCGCCGCAGATCATGATATGATGGAGGGATGTTGTCTTCGAGGTCTGAATATCACCCAGGTCTTGTATCAAGTCGAGTCACTTCCATCCTCTTTCTAACGCTCCTCCCGAGGTCATGCCTACATAGAAGTCCGTCACTGTGTAGGGAAGTTGTTTCCGCGATCAACTTGCTGGCTCATAGTATTAAAATAACATTTTTTTACAGTCTGACATCCCCTGGGACGATAGCTCAGTTGGGAGAGCGTGCGACTGAAGTTCGCAAGGTCGCTGGTTCAATCCCGGCTCGTCCCACATTTTTGTTCACTTTTAGAAGTGGTGTGTGTATCCACGGAATCCGCGGGCACTTGTGGCTTTAAGAATTCCAAGGTGGGTGGGTGGGTACCCTGTACACGGTGGAAGATTCCCTCGGTCGACACACGAAGTACGGAGTACGGCAGGCAGTATTCAATGGTCAAGGAGCCCCTTCTCTTTCCAAGGTTATGGAAACGTGCACCTGGCACCTTATCGGGTTTATAGCAGTATCCATGGATTGTAATGATATTCAATTTATTTCATAAAATTTACCTCGTGCCCTGGCCTCCAGATGTCTCCAGGCTAAAGTGCTACCTACATACATAGGTAGGTAGGTGCTTAGCTTATGTACATGGTAAGATTGAATCAGGGCTAGATACCTACGGAGTACATATATGTAATCTGAAAACTAGAATGTGTCGCGGCTGACAGAACAAGACATTATTGTAGTATAACTACTCCGTAGGTAGTATTTATTACCTAGTCCACGGTGTAGCGGGGAAACTGCGCAATGTGATACCTCCATCCATCCATGGATAGGTAGATCCTGAGGTCAACAAGCGGTCTATACTCGACACTCAGCATCACCTAGGTACCTACCTACCTAGGTAGGTACATAGGTAGGTAGGTATGGCTATAAATATACATAGTACTACATAAACTGACCCCGCGCGGGTTTAGCATTCCAGAGATGGGGCCTTTCAGCTTTTAAGGTTCTTTGCCATCCCATGCTCTCCTCTCACCTCCCTCGGTCATGGGCCCTGCCCTCCCACCGTCCTGTCTGCTGCGTCAGACCGCCATCGCGCTCTTTCAATTTCAAAGGTTCACTAGGTATAATCTACTACGGATCTCGAAAGCCGGGGGTATTTTGCTTTGCTTCGCTCCGCACGGATTCAAGCCATTTGAGTTTGGGAATTGCTCAGGGCACCCACGGATTGCTCAGGGCACCCACGCTAGTGCCACTTTCCAAGTGGCCGCTATTGTCAACTCCTGATTTCGCTTTAAAACTGGTATTCCCATAGTAAATGGAAATACACAGCCCTGAGTCTTACTACATATTTACATAATCTAGGTGATTCATCAAACCTTGGAAGCGCTAAGACTCGGGGCTGTGTATTTTAAATACTATAAGAGAACCAGTATTAGAGT